GAAAATAAAAAAGTAGGTATATTAAAATTCATCCTCTGAATATTCTGATGAATTATCTTCGTCTCCTAGATTGATAACGATAGGTTCCACAGTAACGTCAATTAAATTATCGAGTTCCCACATTTTCTCCTCTTCTTTTTGTACATGATGTATACATCTTTGCCAGTTATCTGCAGTTACTCGTTCCAAGGAATTTTTTAACAAAATTTTCACGTCACTTAATTTAAACGTCGTATTATTTCGCGCTACATCTCCTTTTACCTGCGCCCAGACTAATTCGATTGGGTTAAGTTCACAGTGATAAGGTGGTAACCGTAGTACCGTTATTTGGCGATTTGTTGCCATTTCATCGATAACATATTTTTTCTGATCTTTATTAAGATTGACAAGTGTCAAAAGTTCCTTTTTCACCATATTTGTTTCAAAAGAAATGTTTTTTCCGGATAACCATTGAATTATATCGGCTTTCCTCCAAGCAGTCGTAGGCGTCCGCTCGGTCTGCCGTGAATGGTAACTGGCATTATCCATGACAATTACAGACCCCGGAGGAATAAGATCCAACATCTGTGTAAAATACTCTTCGAAAACATCTGCGTTCATGTCTTCGTGATAGTCACCTGTATTTTTAGATTCAAATAAAAGTAAACCGCCATCTACAAAACCACTGGCACTACCTATATGTGTCACTATTAATCTTCGCCCTTTACCTGAAGGTGCCTTGAACCCTGTTGAAAGTCCATCCAAAAATGCTTGTCGAAAACTTTTTACATTTTTATCTTGCCATACTTTTGTTACAGTATATCCCTCGTTGACCCAAGTTTCGTCTAGATAATAAATATTCCTCCCTTCGTCACGGAATTTTCTAATTGATCTTAAGTAGGATCTTCGCCAACAAATAATTTCATCTTTATCGATAAGAACTGACTTCCTGTTCTGCTTTTCCCAGCAAAAATTCAACTCTCGTAAGACGGCCCATAATTTGCTTCTACTGATTTTTGGCAAATCGTTGTCCTCTGAAAGTTCACTTAAAATTTTGTTTAGCGTTGGTATTTCTTTTTTAAAATAAAATGAGTGTACTTTTCTGCGAATGACATTTTTGAAGAAATCATCTATAACGACTTTTGACCTCCCTGTAGATGATTTTGGGGGATTTACAGTATCTTGTTCATTTTTTGTTTCCTTTAAAAGTCTGTAGATAGTCGATTTTCCAATCCCTGTCATTTTGGAACACTTTTCCACGATGTCGTCAACACTGTTGGTAGGATTTTGGTGTTTCAATGCATTAAATACATTTAATATAATAATCTTCTCATTCTGAGACAGCGCACATCTTTTCACGCGTTTAGCAGGTACGTAATCTGATAAGCTCGACATTTTACCCAAACAATATTATATCCACTGGCACAATAGTCACTAAACACAAGTCGAATTTTACTCTACTGCACTAGCACGTCTTCGTATATTCAGCTCTAAGACTGGATTGATCTGTCACAATACACTGGCTCCTGCCCTGTGATGTATCCAGTAAAATATACTAATGTACACCCATTACCTGTTAGCATTAGTGTTACCCGATAATTATCTGAAAGGAAATATAACCACGCCCATGGCCGGTTCTTATCTCGGGGTTTTATTACTCTTTTTCATTTCCAAACAGACTATAGGTACAGAAATTCCTGAAGTACTTGCAAGTTTCCTGAGACTCAAATTTAGTTCTATTGCGATGTGCCCCAAGACAGCTACCTAATTATCCTCATTATGTACGACATTTTCACGTTGATGTTTTTTGTTTGCATCCGATCCAGATTCCGAAAATTTATGCACTAAATCCAGGACATACCGATACGAAGTGTTTTTGTCATTAAAAATCTGTGTTGCCTGCCGCGCACAGTCATTATTCTTGTAGAACAAACTAATTATTTCCATAATTTCAGCAATAATTGCTTGTTTATACAATTATTGTATAAACTATTTTTACGAATTGGAATTCAATCGACTTTGTGATGATTTTACGGGATATTGTCTCTATATGGCAAGACGAGACAGTATTGTCTCGTTTAAAGTAAAACGGGTAAAAAGTTGAACTGATAGGGTATGAAGCTGTTGTATTGACAGATAAACGAAAAATCTAAACAAAATTTATAGAGAAATTGTTGAAGAATGTCGTCAGATATCGCCCGAAATGCTTCGAAATGTTCGTTCGCAAGTGGAGCAAAGATTTTATTATTGTATTGAAGCGGAGGGAAACCAGTCGTCGAGAGCAGAATTGAAAAACACCAATACCTACTTGAAAAGAAAATCGACGTGACTTTTTTGTTTTTTTTTTAATTTCGATATTTTGCAGGTGGGAAGTTTTAATTGGACAAACCACACAAAACCTGTCTATTACAAATTTTATTGGAATACCTCAAAAGAGTATTTAATAAAGTGGTATAAAAAAGATTAGATTTGAGAGTGCTCGATATGATCTCTTGAATGAAATTCGATTTTTGCTCCTCTCGGTTATATAAAAAATATCTCTCAAAATCAGTATTTTAAATTAATCATATATGTATGTTGCGTCCGCACATTGTAATTTTAAAATTAGTTAGTAGGTATTATAAAATATTTTGTTAATTATTCTATTGAGAATTTTGTTATCTGTCGGCAATTTTATTTTCACTCTTTTTTGTAATAAACATTTTTATTTCATAGAAAAAAGGTTGCAAGAGGCACTACCGATTCGCTAATGATCACATCGATCGATCATTAATGACCATCTGTAAAAATATCGCTAGATCTGGGCGAGATTCGGAACAATTTCAAAATTGCAAAAATGTTTAAAAAATTTAAAAAAATATCTATTTTTATCAGAGTTTTTTACTTGTATCTTGGAACTTATGCATTCTGGAAGAATATTGAAGAGGAAAAAAGTTTTAGAATTGAATTTTGCACAATATACTGTAATTTAAAAATGTTTAAATTTATTATCGATGTTACAAAATAGCAATAATTGATGAAAAAAAGGCAAAATAATAAAGTTTTTCAGATAATTTTTTTTAAATATTTTAATTGCTCCGAGGGCATTCCAATTTTGGTAAAAAAAACTTTAGAGCATAAAAAACAACACACCAAATTTCATTAAAATTGGTTTAATAGTTTTCGCAAAATAATTTTTTGAAAAAAATTTTGAAAAAATTTTTCGAATTTTCGAAATGTTGCACAGTCTCAAATAAAGCATCTAGATACTTGAAAATTTTTTCACATAGAAAAGACCGCCCAACCTTTCAAATGGTTTCTGAAAAATTGAAATCGGTTGATTAGCACAGCCACAGTAAATTTTTAAAGTTAATACCCTTTTTTTTTATTTTTATACAATTAGATTACATTTATCAATTTGCAATTTAGTTTTTTTTTTTAAATTATAATTTTAAAGCACTATTTTTTCTTAATTTTATCTGTATTTAACAAAAAAATTCATTTCCAAATAAAAAAATTAATTTGTTTAAACAAAAATTATTTAAATAATTGTAATAATTATAACTAAATAAATTTATATTCAGAGTATTGAAATATATACGTAAACAAATTTCATTGAAAAAATGCAATAGCATAGGGTAAAATATACAGTATATTTAATGCATAAATAATAAACTTTGTTTATACCAAAATATGTGCATATTAGACAGTTAGAGCATTACGATATTCCTTGGCTTGCGAGACATCGGATTAAAAAAAGGATCGAAATTAGTCCATTAGAAGCCGAGATAATGAAATTTTTTTTCGTATACCTTTGCATTTTAAATCTCCAAATTCAGTCACTTTTCGTGTTTTGAGTCAATTTTCGCTCGTGCGTTTTCCGCTGATTTGATCTATGTTGCCGATAACTTATGGGTATGGAAATTTTTTCCAGCTTAGAACTCGGAAGCCACTGGATCAAAGATAATTGCTAAATTGTTTATAAATTAACGGTAAATGCTGATAAACTTTGACAGCTTATATCTCAAGAACCAATTTTCTATGTGAAAAAATTTTCATAGTATCTAGATGCTTTATTTGAGGCTGTGCAACATTTTGAAAGTTCGAAAATTTTTTTCAGAAAAATTAATTAGCGAAAATTATGGAACCGATTTTAATGAAATTTGGTGTGTTATTTTTTTATACTCTGAAGTTCTTTTTACCAAAATTAGAATACCCTCGGAGCAATTAAAATATTAAAAAAATATATCCAAAACACTTGATTATTTTGCCTTTTTTCATCAATTATTGCTATTTTGCAACATCGGTAATAAATTTAAACATTTTTAACTAACACTGTAAAATTCAATTCTAAAACTTTTTTCCTCTTATTCTACCAAGATATAAGGAAAAAACTCAAATAAAATAGGTATTTTTTTAAATTATTCAAACATTTTTGCAATTTTGAAAATGTTCCGGACCTCGCCCAGATCTAGATGGATGTGAGTTGTACTGAATGTAATCCAGAAAAAATTTGCTTGGCCCCTCTCACATCCATCTCAAAACAGATCTCCCCTGGTCTATAAGTGATTTAGTTAAAACCCACAACAAAGAAGATTTAATGCTGCATGCCATTTACCACTATCTACTGCACAGAACATCGATAAGCCGTTTTAGTTTATTTTCTATACGAATAAAAAAATATATATAGGGTCTATCTGTAGCAAGGGTCGGCAACTGGCGGACCGCGGTCCAGGTTCGGACCGAGGAAGATAAAATACTGGACCGCCAAAAATTTTTTGAAAATATAAATTACTCAAATAAATTATTTAAAAAATGTTTTTTACGTTTAAGTGCCAATCTTATCATTATTTCTAGTATTTTACAATTGTGTGAGTGTTTTGAGTTCTTAATGTAAGTAAGCAGATGAAATTTGAGTCCAAATTAAAATAAAAAAATAAGATGAATTTTTTTCTGGACCTCGTTAAAAATTTTCAAAAGTATCCGGACCCCACCTAAAATTACTTGCCGACCCCTGATCTATAGGATCACAGTCTAGAAAGTCAAGATACCATTATATTTTATTTTATTTTTAGAATTAGAGATCATACCCGTACATATTGTATACAAAAATTAATTCTAATATAGAATTCTGTGTCGTATTCTGTAACTTATAAAACATTATTTTCAACCTTTCTGAAATTTTGCGTATTTAACGTCGGCAATTTGTCAAAATTCTTCAAGATATCCTGAATTTGTGGAGGGGGGATATTCACGCTGTCTGCAAAATCAAATTTGCTCAAATCCTCTTGTTCGGAAGGATCTTCCGAGGGAGATTGCTGATTGAATTTCCTTGGAATTGGGTTTGACACCTGGGGGTAGTATCCCTGGACTTGGAAGTTTGGTTGAGGGTGTCCTCGGGGATAGCCTTGAGGGTAACCCTGTGGATATCCTTGAGGATATCCTTGAGGGTATCCTTGGGGATATCCTTGAAAGTATCCCTGGGGGTATCCCTGAGGGTATCCTTGGTAACCATTTATAAATCCACACACTCCTCTAACAGCTGGAAGTGCCTTTTGTCCAAAATCTTGTAACTTTCTTCCCTGAAATGATATACGTATTTAGAATAACAAAAATAGTAAAAATCGTAATGTTTTGGTTAATTCATTTTTTATGTTGTACAAAATAGATGCCTAATTTAATTGTACTACGAGATAAGGGAAGATGTAGCATAGAGGCACACAACTTTCTTCTGTTAAAATATTTAGTGCTGCCATCTCTAATATTTGACATGAGTTACATGAGTCTACGCATGATACAAGGCTAACGAGATGAACAAACAGATAAACTGCTATACTTTTTAAATAAATATTAGATTAGTTAATTTTTTTATAATATATTTAGTCACTTTATATAGTGAAATTGAAAATGAAAAAGAAGAATCATATATTAGGCGAGCGGTTCACCCCTAGAAAGGTGCTTCTAAATGAAGGTAACCGATTAAATTTTTAAAACAAAAACCTACAGTATGAAACTTTTTTAATTTTATAAAGTGTATTTTTCTAATTTACATATTTTTTTTTATATTTTTCGGCGTGGTCAGTCAATTATAAACAAAAAAGTTGTAAAAACAAATTACTCGCCGAATGGCTTTGAAAACAGTTTTTTATTGTAAAATGTAAAAATAAACACCTTTTGTCCTTTGAAAAAAATTCGAAAAATGCTTCGTTTCCGAGATATTTACAATTTAATGTGAAAAAAGTGACGAATTCGACATACTTTCCGAATTTTTTCTCAAAAACTACTGAATAGAATTTAATTCTAAAAAAAAACATAATAATCGGCAGATCTTCTACTTTAAGATACATTTTTTTCGTATAGGTCAATTATTTTATTGAAGGTCTAAAGCGAGTAAAAAAACAGTCTACAAATAGTGAAATTGTAACTCTTGATCCATTGACACATGGATGGAAAATTGAAAATGGTTGTTTGGATTTTAATCATTTCGAAGGAGAAACTGCGTTAGATATGCTTCAAAAATATTTTTGTGCATGTAGTGGAAAATTGTAACTGTTTGTCATCGAACCTGGAATGCTGTGCAGTCTGTGCGTGCTCAGATGAATGTTCCATCCAAAATTGATGATGAAACGTTTATTTCAACTCAAGAACTTGTCGAAAATAACGAAAAACTTATTATTTAAAAATTGAATAAATAAGAAATTAATATACTTTTATTGCTCTTAATATTTTTGTAAAATAAAAATAAAATAATTATCCTACACAATAAATTATCCAATGACTTTTTTATTTTTCGAGACCGCTAGGTCAATTATTATTATTAGGTTAATTTTACGTTTTAAAAACCTTATTTAATTTAGTTTTGTTATAACTTTCAAGTGAATTTTAGCCTTTTATAAAACCAAAAATCGAATATTTAAATTTTACTAATTACTTGCAAAAACCTTACTCCGGCTATAAAACCAAACAAAATGATCTCTTGAATATTTGTACTGTTAACATATATCGATTAAAAAAANTTAAACAAATTTGGTGCCCATGAACACATTTAAAAAATAATTAAAAATAAAGAGAAGTGCAACTTCACTATTTTAAGTAAATATACAGGCTGTTTCAGAAAGACCTCCCATAAATACAGGGAGTGATAGTACGACAAAAAAATAAGAATTTTTTGTCTTATGAATTATATGTCTTTTGTTTTTGAGATACAGAGCGACAAAATAGAATTTTTACGAAAATTTCCAAATGGTGAGAAATATTTTTATGAAATTTGGTATTCCGGGGTTTTTAAGGATGCCAAATACGCTAGTTTAATTATTTTTTAAATATTAGAGGGCGCTAGTTATGCTACATTCCTATTACATTTTAAGTTCAAATTTTTTTAAGGTTAGATTTTTTACCATTCGGGCTCCAATTCCTAATGTACAATTTTATTTTCTAAAAATAATGTACCCCTGTTAGAACTTCCTAATGCGGTCGGTTTTCGAGAAAAAATGCTTTCAACTGCACTCTTATAATATTATGGTGTATAAAATAAGTGACTTTTCTCAAAGTAGGCTTATGTCAAAACTTATTGATAGATATCTCATAAACAACGCATACATTCTTAGTAATAAGTATTTTAAACTCTAATTAACCTTATATCAAAATTTTAGTGATTGTTAGTGACTGTAGTTAGTAATGATTAATTACAGTCTCTAAAATTTTGATATAAAGGTAATTAGAGTATGAAATGTTACTAAGAATATATGCGTTGTCAATGAGACATCCATCAATAAGTTTAGACGTAAGCCTACTTTGAGAAAAGGCACTTATTTTATACACCGTAATATTATAAGAGTTTAATTATTAAAAGCCTTTTTTCTCGAAAACCGTCCAGGGAGGAAGTTTTAACAAGAGTACATTATTTTTAGAAAATAAAATTGTACATTAGAAATTGGAGCCCAAATGGTAAAAAATCTAACCTCCAAAAAATTAGAACATACAATGTAATACGAATTTAGCATAACTAGCGCCCTCTATGAAGTATACAAAAAATAATTAGACTAGCGGATTTGGCGTCCTTAAAAACCCCGGAATATCAAATTTCATAAAAATATTTCGCACCGTTTCGAAATTTTCGTAAAAATTCTATTTAAAAAATTTTAATTTGTCGCTCTGTATCTCGAAAACAAGAGGAGATAGACATATAAGTTCATAAGACAAAAAGGCTTATTTTTTGTCGTACTATCATTCGCTGTGTTTACGGGAGGTCTTTCTGAAACAGCCTGTATATTAAGAAAGAAACAACGAGATTTCCAGTTTACTTTTCAGCATATTTTGCAAACTATCAAAGATATTTGAGAGAGCATTGTTTCAGTTCATCGATTTGTTTGTAATTTAATCTAGCATTCGAATAACGCTATCGCTAACGTTCCTCAGATGGTTCTGAATATTAATATACATGAGTTTTTTGAGGTTATATTTCATATCAGATAATTTTTCATACTTACAACTTCATCCAAATCAAACGGTTTGGGTGCTGCCAATGCACAGCCAGCTAGGACCAGAAAAGACAGAACGGAGATTTTGGGGCACATTGTTCTAGTTATTATTATTTAGATGCTTAGGCAGGAAAAATGGAGCGAAACTGATTTTGTGGAGATAATACTGTCTTTTATATAGACGAAATTGTGCAGATAATTCATTACGTAGCGGATTTGCCATAGTATGATGAAGCGGAAGTTGTGGCAAGACTTCAAAATAAGTCATATTTCCTTTCGAAAGACAAAGGCAATGTGTCAATCATTGTAATCGTAATAAAAAATTGCCGACGGTATACGTACATTAACTGCTGCTATCAAAATTCCTGAAAGATAGTAAACGTGGGAATGTTCCTATAAAAATATAAAATATTACATATTTTTGTGGTTATCCCGCGATTGTGCGTATTATTGATATTTCAGCTTTTGATATATGGCTTACAATTTGTTTACCTTTTTGTGATAAACTCTAATGACGTACGAAAAATGTTGTGGTCTTTGCAAAACTATTTTTAAATAAATGTACTGCATATTTGGTTAAAAAAAGGAAAATAGTACTAGTGTTATATTTGTGATTTTATTACTACCACGTTTAAAATTAAGAAAGTTTTGCAGAAATTTCAATATACTTTGCAACCTTTTCTCTTTTATAAATTTCGGGATACTTTGACACAGATAATTTTATCATTGTGATACAGATAGGCAAGAAAATATTACTTTTTGAATATTTAATATTTGGGAAACCTAACAACAATTCTGAGGGTGTCCGTTGTTCGAATCGTTCATTGAGAATCTCGGTTATTTAAGAGAGACAAGTTCAATTAAAAATGGTAAAGCGAAAAGAGAAAGAATCCTATTTTCTTTTGAAATCAACGAGAATATTGGTTCCCGTTTTTATTCTTTTAACTGAAAACAAAAAGAGGATATTTTAAAAGATTTTAGGATATTTCTTTGTGGAGAATTCAATTATGTTGTCGTGAGTATATTGTACTATTTTTATTTTGATAGTTCAATTAAATTTTGGTCAACATCGTCAAGAATTATAGAACTAAAAATACAATTTTCACAAGAAGCAGTCATATATATTCTTTGAATTAGTTAANTTGGCAAAATTTCGATTTAAAGGCTTGGTTAATTGGACTATTGTTAAAACTTCCTAATGTGGACGGTTTTTGAGAAAAAAGGCTTTTAATCTCTCTTACGATACTACGATGTATAAAATAAGTGACTTTTCTCAAAGTACGCTTATTTCAAAACTTATTGATAGATGTCTCATAAGCAACGCATACATTCTTAGTAATATTTTAAACTCTAATTAACCTTATATAAAAATTTTAGTGATTGTTAGTGACTGTAGTTAGTAAGATTAATTATAGTCACTAAAATTTTGATATAAAGTTAATTAGATTTTAAAATGTTACTAAGAATGTAAACGTTATCAATAACCTTTGACATAAGCCTACTTTGAGAAAAGTCACTTATTTTATACATCGTAATATTGTTCAATTAAAAGCCTTTTTTCTCGAAAACCGTTCAGATTAGGAAGTTATATAACAAAAGTACATTATTTTTAGAAAATAAAATTGTATATTAGAAATTGGAACCCGAATGGTAAAAAACCTAACCTCCAAAAAATTATAACTTAAAATGTAATACGAATTTAGCATAACTAGCGCCCTCTATGAAGTATACAAAAAATAATTAGACTAGCGGATTTGGCATCCTTAAAAACCCCGGAATATCAAATTTCATAAAAATATTTCGCACCGTTTCGAAATTTTCGTAAAAATTCTATTTAAAAAATTTTAATTTGTCGCTCTGTATCTCGAAAACAAGAGGAGATAGACATATAAGTTCATAAGACAAAAAGGCTTATTTTTTGTCGTACTATCATTCGCTGTGTTTACGGGAGGTCTTTCTGAAACAGCCTGTATATTAAGAAAGAAACAACGAGATTTCCAGTTTACTTTTCAGCATATTTTGCAAACTATCAAAGATATTTGAGAGAGCATTGTTTCAGTTCATCGATTTGTTTGTAATTTAATCTAGCATTCGAATAACGCTATCGCTAACGTTCCTCAGATGGTTCTGAATATTAATATACATGAGTTTTTTGAGGTTATATTTCATATCAGATAATTTTTCATACTTACAACTTCATCCAAATCAAACGGTTTGGGTGCTGCCAATGCACAGCCAGCTAGGACCAGAAAAGACAGAACGGAGATTTTGGGGCACATTGTTCTAGTTATTATTATTTAGATGCTTAGGCAGGAAAAATGGAGCGAAACTGATTTTGTGGAGATAATACTGTCTTTTATATAGACGAAATTGTGCAGATAATTCATTACGTAGCGGATTTGCCATAGTATGATGAAGCGGAAGTTGTGGCAAGACTTCAAAATAAGTCATATTTCCTTTCGAAAGACAAAGGCAATGTGTCAATCATTGTAATCGTAATAAAAAATTGCCGACGGTATACGTACATTAACTGCTGCTATCAAAATTCCTGAAAGATAGTAAACGTGGGAATGTTCCTATAAAAATATAAAATATTACATATTTTTGTGGTTATCCCGCGATTGTGCGTATTATTGATATTTCAGCTTTTGATATATGGCTTACAATTTGTTTACCTTTTTGTGATAAACTCTAATGACGTACGAAAAATGTTGTGGTCTTTGCAAAACTATTTTTAAATAAATGTACTGCATATTTGGTTAAAAAAAGGAAAATAGTACTAGTGTTATATTTGTGATTTTATTACTACCACGTTTAAAATTAAGAAAGTTTTGCAGAAATTTCAATATACTTTGCAACCTTTTCTCTTTTATAAATTTCGGGATACTTTGACACAGATAATTTTATCATTGTGATACAGATAGGCAAGAAAATATTACTTTTTGAATATTTAATATTTGGGAAACCTAACAACAATTCTGAGGGTGTCCGTTGTTCGAATCGTTCATTGAGAATCTCGGTTATTTAAGAGAGACAAGTTCAATTAAAAATGGTAAAGCGAAAAGAGAAAGAATCCTATTTTCTTTTGAAATCAACGAGAATATTGGTTCCCGTTTTTATTCTTTTTTCTGAAAACAAAAAGAGGATATTTTAAAAGATTTTAGGATATTTCTTTGTGGAGAATTCAATTATGTTGTCGTGAGTATATTGTACTATTTTTATTTTGATAGTTCAATTAAATTTTGGTCAACATCGTCAAGAATTATAGAACTAAAAATACAATTTTCACAAGAAGCAGTCATATATATTCTTTGAATTAGTTAATCAATCAAGTTTTAAACATATCATGCTTTTCTTCATATAATTTGATTCAACGTAATCAGGAGAATGAGGTGAATTAGAAAATAGTGAAAATTTCCCTTCTGATAGGCGGCATATACGACAACATATTTCTATTTTCCGTAAAAAAGTGTCCTAATAACGTTTAATTTTAAAAGTTCATCTCTTTTAGTTTTCTATCAAAAAAAAATCAACGAGGATATCAAAATTTTAAGTTTTTTCTTTGATAACTCATCTACAAAGAAAAAGATATATCAAAATGCACGTTATTCGTCATCAAATTTCAGAACTTTTGCCTAATTTGATCGGCCTTGCATCTCTTAAGATAACTGAGATCCTCATGGTGTGGTTTGAAAATGAACACCCAATATATCTTGGGAAATATTGAGTCCATAAATCAATGCAAAAATCATCATTCTACTTGCGTTGATCGCGTATGAATATTTAATATTCAGACCCCTTATACTTTTTAGCAAGATTAGCTAGTCGTATTGCGCGACCTTTTTGTTGTCTTATTGCTAATATTAATGTTTTATTGAAGTCTCCCATGTATATAATGACATGTAATTACAACAAGATATGTACCTACCTCATGTGATATCTTTCATTGTAATTTGAAAACTTTGTATTCCACGTTTAAATATGCCAGTGACAATTGAATAATCGTACTCGTGTTAGATCGTTTCATCAATGTATTGTTATTATTTTTTAGTTATTTTCTGTGTTGGTTTATTCTTTCAGTTATATGTATTTTTATAAACTTTGTCCTGTAATTGGTTTGTATACTAGATTCGAGAACCTTACCGCCATATTTCGAGAAAATGCCCACTGAGTTAATAAAAAAGGGTGCTTCTCGACTATGCCAGGAAGATATGCGATTTCGGATGTGTTGGGTATTTTTTTAAATTAACGCTTTCGCTTGTAGTGAACTCATTTGTCTTCAAACCATCTGCGCAGTGGCTTCTATTTCTCTTTTTACCTCCAACCTTACATTTTCTTTTCGATATTCAACAGTAGTCCGTCATCATATTTATGCTCTACTTACTCTGATATTTTTTTCAATTTCCTTTAAATCTTGGTAAAATCGTTCACCTTGCTCTACGTACTCAATTTATCGGGGAAGTAATCCACAAGAGAGTCCTTACAGTGCAATTTAAGATTCATTAAACATAAGTGTGACAACGGTGCGACGGTTAATACGAGGTACTAAGGTACTTTTACTTTATAATTTTTATTGTCCTTTTTTCTAAAATGAATGTTATCAGTTATTTTAACTTTTGATATTATTGTACATAAACATTCGTATGTTTTGAACTATTGTTTATGTTTTGAGATCGGTTAAATGAAAAATAAATTAGGTAAAATAATGTTTATTAAATGTGATATAATAATTTACAAAATAAATAGAGTTAATTTGAATTATGCCGGTGATTAAGCATTTCCAAAATCAGTCCTTCTTATCGGGGGTTAACCCAAATTGCTGAGCTAAGGCTGCATATCCTTGAAGTGTAGGTAGAAGCCTTTCCGCTGCATCTCTAATCCTTTGACCTGCCCTTTCCTAAAAAATAACTGCCTTTAACATTATCCTTTAAAATAAGTCTTGAGACATATTTCCTCTGAATGTGCCTGTATTAAAAATAATTAGATATTTTATTTGATTTTTATAAATATATTTAAGAAATAGTTAATAATAATTTGGGGTACAATTCGTTTTTATCTCTATTACCATAAGCATTTTTTTGTGGCATAGAAATTAATTTATTTTGAATTTAATTGACCATGGAAAAGTTAACAGTGTGGACTAAACTTTAAGCAACCTATATTATTGTTCAAATAGTAACTAAACCTTACCACATTCTTTAGTTCTTCATCGATACCAGGTCTTGCATATATCTGTTCGCATACTAGCAATACGACCAAGACGATAGCGAGGAATACAACTGGTTTCATTTTGTAACAGTGTACTATTGGCAGGTGTGATTGAACTGTGTTCCAACTGTGCAAAAACACCATTTTATATCGATATACACGCCTATCGCCACCGAGAAAGTACCGAGGTGTTTTGGGACTCAAATATCCCCTTTTTCTAAGCGTTTGAGAATCTGCTGTCTGCAACTCTTTCAGAGCTGTTCAGCGGAATCTCTGATTGCTTTCCTACAAACGACTGACAAAGCTGTGATTAAGATGAATTAATCATTTCGTAAAGTACCGTAAACTCAAGCGTATGAACCGCAAACCTTGAGAGTGAAATGGACGGACTTGCTTTGTTGTTGCCTCTGAAAATTACCGGCACTTTTTTATTAGATCTAATGACGTTTTCGCAAAAAATATCAAAAGATCTGGAAGTTTTAATGACTAGTGTAACTGTTATGAGAATTCTGTACGAATTTTAGTTTTTTAAATATATTTTACACCAGATAATGTGTTTGAAGTTAAAATATTATATCAAACAATTAAAGGGGGTATACAAATTGTACGTAGAAATATGCATATATGATTTCTACTATTTCCTACAAGCTTACTATAAATCGAACAACTGTTATTTGAAATTGAACAATTTATAAAGTGATAGTTAAGAACGCGACTTTATTTTAAAAGAAGTTTTGAGTATTCTATATTACTATATTGCCTATTACTCAAAAATATTTGGTGACCTAAATTTGTACATACAAGAATAAAATACACAAATGAGTGTCGAAAAGTGTAGAAACAAACCCAATTTTAACATTTTTAAGTGGAACACTATATGTTTTTACATATATGGATCGATTACAGTGATATAAAGTACCTACATAAGATCTATTTCCAATAACAAAGGATGTATGGACTGGACCTAACAACTGATTAAAATTGTTAGCCCTTATATTTGTACTTTATTTTAAAGTTATTAGGCTTCATTCAAATAAGTTTAAAACCTTATTTGTCTTTTGAGAAAAGCTTTTTCCAATGCAGTGGCTTCCCTATAAGTAATATTAATAAATATTAACAGAATAAAAAATAATATACCTATATAAAAATATGTAAAACAGAAAATTTAAAAAAAAATATATTTTTTTAATTAATCGAACTAGCTTTTGAAATAAAGTGATAATAATCCCTTTCATAAGCCTTTGGAATACAACTTACTCTTTTGGACGGTTTTTTCTTATTAGTAGAGACCTATAAGCCCCTATTTCACAGAAATCCTAAAAAAGTATTCAAATCTATAGTGTTGAAGTTGAATCAGCTTCTACAATACTTGACATAAATTTATTATTTACATTTAATTTCGTGTCTAAAACTACTGCATCATTTTTTTTCTAATTCTTATAATAAACCTTTTACTAGCTTGAAAGTATAAATGAAAACCCTATACAGGACATACCCAGAACTGCGTCGATCGATATCTAAGAAAGTACTGCTCCGAAAAATTTGAAAATTTGGCAAAGTGGGTCGAGCACAATTAAAATATCTAGAGCCCTCCAGCGCTTCTGGTTATACCAAAAGTTGACACCAAATTCGTTATTTTAAATAGGACAATTATTGCATTTTTGTATTCTACGTGAAATTTGAGGGTCACTTTTTTAAATATTAGTTATAGATTTTGGGATATTACTATTATTATTAAATTACTTTGTCGCATTTTCTAAAAATTAATACATATCTCAAATTTAACTCCTACGTATAGGGAATATTTAATAAAGTGACTCTCAAATTCCACATAGAATCCGAAAATGCATTAATATATAGGGTGTCCCATTAAAAATAACGAAGTTGGTGTCGACTTCCGGTATAACCGAAAATGCCATTAAGTTCTATCTGTAAATAGTTTAATTATTGTCTTTCTAATTTAAGTCTACGAACCTAACCTAATCTAACCTAACTTAACCTAACCTGATGTTTAATTATTGCCTTTCTGACTTAAGTTTAAGAATATCTAAAAAACTCCTCTTAGTAATTGCTCTTACGCTTAATACTTACGTCGGACCATCCTGTATACCATCCTGGAAATATTACCTACTCTTATTTTACTATGTTCTATACGTAACTTATTATTTTTGTGACTAACGGTGGTATGACAACTAATTTCAGTAATTTACTAAGAACTTTTTAATTTTGCATAGTATCGTATTCAACATCATTGCATCAAAAATTGTTACAGTTTCCGTATGATACTATGCAAGATTAAAGAGCTTTTAGTTAATTACTAAAATTAGTTCTAATTTTAGTATAGTGTCACACGACTCTAATGCAAGATATTATTGATCATGTTTTTCTCTTTTAGCATATAAATGAAACGCACAAATATTGTGTATAAAATGTATATTTATGCTACTATGCATTAAATCGTTTAAAATAAACCCCTCTTCTTCCTTTTTGATTCAATGGACTCCTTACTACCCATTACTTTTTCCTTTTCCCAAAGGTCTTTCTCCAACTCGAACGTTTTCCGCTTTTCTTCTAATTCTTTAACTTCTTCTTCCAAAGCCTTCTTTGTAACTTCGTACCTCATATTCAAAAGCTTTTCCGTATCCCTCAGTTCTTTCTCCTTCTCCCGCACCTTTTTCTCGAGTAATTCGTCCATTTCAGTCTCCATTTTCTTCAATTTCAATACATGGCCTTGCTTTTCTTCCTCGAATTCAAGAAGTGGGTTTTTTATCACATCCGTTCCGTTATATTTTAGGTTAGAAAGTTTACGATACCTGTAGTTCTCATAAAGAGTGTTGTTAGTAGTGTCCTTTAGATCCTGGAGGTGCGTGGAAATCATCATTTTCCTCAAAGCGATGAAGTCGCAATGTTCCAAATTTTCAATATCAATAACGCCCCAAGAATATTTTCTACCTCGGACAGTCTTGCCGTTTACTTCAATGGTAGTATTAGAGCCAGCTACTGCGAAAGGAACTTTTTCCTTTAGAGATTTGTTTAATTCAAACCCTTCATCTTCTTCGGAAAGATCTGGAAACTTGTATATCTTTATGTTGTTCGCTTCAACATCTTGCAGAATCTGTTTCTTGAACGTAAAGCATTCCTCTGGAGTAAGAGTGTCTGCTTTTGCTATCACAGGGATGATATTCACTTTATCGGACAGACGTTTCATGCACTCTATATCCAACTGCTTCAAACCGTGCCCAGTTGGTTGAATAAAATACAAACAGCAGTGAATTCTCTGGTCGAGTATCGGTTTTCTATTCACTTTGGATTCCGCTACGAAGAAATCTTCGTATTTCTTTTCTACATACTCAGTAATAGGAATCCAGGATAGGCTGTTGTTGATTGCGTCACCGAACCCAGGCGTGTCGACTAACGTTAATGTTAAATTAACTCCACCTTCTTTCAGTTTCACTGTTGTCGTTTCCACTGACACTGTCTTCTTACTTCTTATTGTAGGTCCCGGATAAGTTACAGAGTTGTAGATGTCTGTCAGGAACAAGGAGTTCATTAGCGTCGACTTTCCTAAGCCAGATGCTCCGACGAGCATGAGAGTAAACTCGAAGCCCTTATGGGCTGCTTTCCAGTATACTTGGTTGGGTAAATTCGCGAAACCAACGTAGCTGGTTTGTTCCACTTTTGAGCCTTCCTTTGTTTCATGGATGTCATCTCCAGACGTGGATTTTTCTTTGGAAAGTTTGGTTGCGTTTGTGCCATCTTCAGAGGTTTGTGTCTTTGCGGTTGAACCATCCATGTCGAAACGATTTTCTACACCATAACTAACACTATTTCTAAATTCACTGTTGGACACTGATCTGTATAGTAGCGTTTTACTTTCGGTACTACTTGATGTCGGCTGCATAGTGTACTCGACTCGGTTGACGTCAAATTAATAATAAGGTAAGGGTTGATATTATTGGGTCCTTTTAATTATTTAGCCGGAATAATATTTGCAAATTATGGTTATTTTCCTAAAAGGGTTTGTCGATAACGATAATCTCTTTTGTAGATGTTAAAGGGGTCATAAATCTCGAAAAAGGTCTAGTGAGCGTCTACCTGGTTATTTCTTTTCTTGGTATTGACAAATAAAATATTTCTGTTGGTTAGAAACTGTTTTAATGGACATTTGAGAAAAATTTAAAAATGATTAAGCAGTAAATATTTTAATAAAATAATTATGAAAAGTAAACAGTAAAATGGCGTATGCCATGCAGTGGCGGCTCGTGACATTGTGAATAGGTGAGACCTGTGGTTTTTTTACTAGGTGGGCAAGAAAGAAAAAAAGAAAGCGCCGCAAGTAAAATGTTTTAAATTTTCAATGTCAAAAGACTAAATGCATCTGGAAATTTTATACAATATTATAGAAAAACTGATGTTCACGAGAAGGATCAAATAACAAATAGGAATAAATTTCCATGTCATTTTTTATTATGGAGGTCTTCACCAATAGCCCTACTATAACCGTAAATTAAAATATTATATTATTAATAGTAATATCAGAACCTTAAAAATTGTATTAACAATAAAATTAAGTAACAAAAAAAAAACAAAATGATATACCTAATAACACAGACCAACCTAACCTAACCTAATATTACCTAATAACACAGACCAACAAACTTTAACTTTTTTTTGGAAGCAGAAACTTAAGAAACTGAGAAACTTAAAAATTTCGCAACGAAAAAAAAAAGATATTTGAGCAAACTCAACGGCATTCGAAGGAGGGAGCCTTATACTTTTAGATTCAATGTATTAGTTTTTTGAAAAAGAATAGATGGCATTACTGCATAACCCCAAATATGACGAAAAACAGTGTTTTTGCACTTTTAGGTTAGGATATCTCAAAAACCTGATGTGATAGAGCAATTCTGCGGCCAGATTCGGATTCAGCGCACGAAAATCCTTCGGGAATGCATATTAGTGTGTTTGCTTCTTGACCATTGTTGACCTGTGAAATTAACAAAATTGTTCCTACTTGGTTTATGAATATTAAAAAATATGAAAAAATATAAACCAAATTTTCATGAGGTAGCCAGCCAACTTATCTGTTTACATATAAAACAACGCCACCAACTTTTTCGTTTGCCTCCACTTTTAACAAAATATTTTAAAAACATAGTCAATGTTTTTATAAAACAGGTTTATTCATCCGTCTTTTAAATTTGTAAATTTGCTTACAACGTCTTCATAAAATTTAGGATCGGCACTAAGACTTTGCAATAGTTCTTTTTCTATCGTCATAAGTTGTTTAAGCGCTCTTGTCATCGTATTTCTAAGTCTTAATGCGCTCAAGACACAAAAAGTTTCTTTCTACCTAGACACTTGTAGGAATTGTTAAGAGTGGGCAAAACAATTTGTATGTTTCCGAAAATACCATTTTAAATTCCTTGTATAATATTTCTATCGTATTTTGAACTTCTAAATTACGAAATTGTTAGTATCTTTACAAAATATTAAGTTCGTTTATCAACCCACCTGTTTCAAAAACGTTTGAATATATTTGTAATAAACATTCAAACAATTTTTCAGGAAATTTGATTTCATATTCTGGAAATTTTGAGGAATCTATTAAAGCAAAAAAATTTAAATCATGTAAATTCCCAAAACGAGTAAGTACTTAATTAAGGGGAAATATATTTCGAAAATATTTCTAATTCGTTGCAACTTTTGACCCGTTTACTTGGTAGTCCAGTAATAGTTTACGCATAATTAAAAATATTTTAAATTTTTTCTTCGTTTCGTAATTTAGAAATTCTTAGATTAATGATTTTAATTTGTTCAGAGCAGTAGTTTACGTCATTACGACTTGAAAAAGGTGTTTCAAGGGATAAAACAATAAATTAAAACAATATTTGATATAGTTTCGTTATTAGCTACCTATGTAGGTATTTGATAATGTAATAAGTATCTATTAAATTGCGTTAAATTTAGTCTTACTTTGTTTTGTTGTAAGGAAATTGTTTTTTATTTATTTTAAATTAATACCTGTCTTGTCCTTATGTTTAAAGCCTTTGTACTATCCCTCACACTGACATCAGACACTACCCGCGTACTATGTGACGCGTACATTAACCGCGAACTGAAACTATAAACTATAAGCAGCTTTGAGCCGGAATCAGTTCCCTCATAAATCACGTTATTTTAACCGCCTCGCTTGGAGGGGGAACTGTTAGCATATTGCAGGCATGTGTGACGCGCCTATAAGCAAAGAATTTCTGGCCTCACTGTGCTGTGGACTAGTGGGGAGTAATGCCGTGGCGATGGAGACGGCGAAATATTCAAACAATTATTTTATACTGTTATTTTGATTTTTGATAAATGTATTAGATAATTGTAAATTATTTTACCTGACTGCTTATTTAGGTTAATAGTAGAAAAGTAGGTATTAAAATATATATATTTTTTTTTGTCTGGTTTTATAGTATGACCAACTTATTTTATTTTCATATCCATTATTTCTAAATTTTGTTTTTGTCAATTAGTTTTAATATTGTAATTTTAATAATTATGCTCCTGTAACATTTTATTTTATTTTTATATGCCTTTTTTGCACGCATTGTATACGTTTAGACATCATCCGAAATAATTTAATATCAATTAGATTTTGTATAAGGTTAAGTAGAGTAGCCATTGGCTAGACATCGCCTTATGTAGGTAAAATTGTATTTTGCTTTGTACAATTTTCAAAAATAAAAACATTTTCAAAAATAAAATATACGGTGTGAAAGCCAAATTTTAGGCCCGGCCTCAGTTGGTTCATACGACGAGCCGCCACTGATGCCATGTAAAAGAGTTTGCACTTAATTAATAATTACTACCTTTTGTGAAAAATGTAACGAGCGTTCAAATAAAAACGTGGTCGAAGTTGGCTCTGACACATTGGACGTAGGGAGTAGCTTATAGCGACCAACTTAACCTCATTTCTCAACGAGCTGTATAGCAGCTGTCAGTTTCAATAACGTTAATGACTATATAACTTTATTTTAAAGAATAATCGTGATAACAATAACAAACAATTAAAGGAGCTGCGGAAAGTGTCCCCCTCCTTGTTATAACAATAAATTAAAGCAGCTGCTGAAAGTGTCCCCCTCCTTGTTCCAAGCACTTTTCACACCTGTTCCTCAAAGAATTAAAGACATTTTCTAAGATGCTCGGGGTATTGTTAATTTCACGAATCTTGTCTATAAGTCGAGCCTGCAGATGGTTTAAATCAGGAATAGGCAGTTCAAAAATAGTGTTTTTAAGGTAAGGCCACAAAAAGAAATCACACGGCGTAATATCACATGACCTCGGTGGAAATTCATGTTCAGCATTGAGACTTATTAGTCGATTTTGGAAAACTTCCCTCAACATATTCATCGTCTCGCCTGCCGTATGTGCCCTTGCGCCATCTTGTTGAAAGTAAAAGTTTGTAATTTCGTTTTCTTCCAGCTGGTTAACAAAAGGAGCGATAATTTCTTCTCTATACCTTTGCGCAGTAAGAGTACCATTAAAAAAAATAGGTCCATAAATCCTCCTTCGATTGAGAGCACACCAAACTCCAATTTTTTGAGCGTGTAGAGGGCCCTCGACAAAAAAGTTATCTGGTTTTTCAGAAGACCACATTCTCATATTCTGTGAGTTTACGTAACCACTTAAATGAAACCAGGCTTCATCAGAAAAAAAGGTGATATTATGAAGTTCACCGTAGTTGTTTAAAAACCATTCACAAAATACAGCCCGTCGCGGAAAATCAACTTCATGAAGTTCTTGCTGACAAGTTAAACGATAGGAGAACAAACGCAAATCTTTTTTTAACACTGTGTGGCAGGTACCGACTGATACTCCCACCATTTGTGATAAAACACGTACAGAAGTTCTTGGCGCATTTTCCATTATTTGTTGGACATTTTCTTTTAATTCTTCAGTCCGCTTTTTAGGTCGGCCGCTTCCTTCTTTTCTTGTTACACTGCCCGTTTCACGAAAAACATTAACACAACGCTGAACTGCACTTTGAAAAATTTTGTACTCAACAACGCCGGGAAATTGATTTTGAAATTCTATGAAACATTCCTCAATAGAATACTTCCATATTCCATCAATCTTGCGTCCATTTCTAAAGTAGGACTCTATGATAAACACTTTTTGTTCTTGAGAAAACACCATTTTAAACGCTTTTTAAAACGAAAATATTCAAATTGATAGCGGCGATATAGCGCTTTGACAGATGACGTTTAAGTTCATTTGCTATACGCTACGCCCTACGTCCAAATTTTCAGAACCAACTTGACCACGTTTTTATTTGAACGCTCGTTATATAAAAAGTAAACAAATTAATACAATAGGACCTTTTCATAGTATTATTATGTAGGTACCGTAAAATTTATATTAATCGGTAATTTCATTCTTAACCGTAAATACCTGTAATTACTGTGAAATACCTACTCTAATGAAGCATAACTAATTTTTACGATCATTATTTAATTAGCACGACGCTGGCTATGAAAAGAAATTTAAATAACCTTGCATGCTTTTGCTATTAAACGAGACAACAAAATGAATATGAGTCATGAATGAATTGATTGAAATCACCTGTGGTATTTTTAGGCCCTCCTTTATTGTTTTGCTACCTACTTATAATACATAGAAAATATGAGTAAAATCCACATTGAAAAGTGATTAATTCTCTATTGAAGAATTAAACGTGAGGGAACTTGTAGAAATTTTAGTTGTGATTGACACGTTTTGCATTTAGGTCTTGTAAATGTAATGCGATCCCGGACGACAATGCAAAAACAAGCCTTGAATCCAGGAATGTGCTTTTACCTTTTAAAATCGCGAACAATATTAATTAATTTTAACATGAACTAATAAATTTTTGTTAATGCATACCTAACATTTCTTCATTATAATCTAATTGTAATATTTATTGTATAAAATATAGATAAGAAATGGTTCGGGAAAGTTAACTTTCCTATATTGTTTGCTGCCGCTTGTTTAGCAACGAACTAAAATAATTAGAATACAGTATTTTTGTTGTGAAATTGGTCCGAAAAAGTAAATATTTCCGAAAGATTTAAGAAAAAATATGTTTTTCTAGGTCCTCCCCTAGTTTTTTGTTTAGCTCTGATGTAAAATTAATTCTAAAAATATGATTTTAGTTACCTGAATTTATACAGGGCGTTTCAATTAAAACCTGGAAAGTATCGGTATTAAAAAAAAAAATCTGAGAGACGTCGATTTTCTCGTACTAGTTTTGCATTGTTTATACTGATTTGTTACTTACAAAAACTAATATTTATATAATATGTGTCAGAACGGTACCGCTGCTGTATCACTACAATTATGAGTGGAAAGGTGACATTTTTGAAATTTATTTGCTTCTTTGATTCATTGGTAGAACTGATACGTCAAAAAACTTCAAAGTCTGTAGCAGTGTAAAACCACACTGTTTACCAATTAATTCATGAATAACTTCGTCAATTTATTCGTGAATAAATTGTCAATGTAAAACAGCTATAAGGTTTTGGTGTCAAAATTATTGTTACCCTGAAATCAATCCGAGATATTCCCACACACAAAGATGATTGCGATTGCTTTTATAATAGTTTTGCTCTATTTAATATTTTTAATAGCATATCTCAAAGTAACTATCCCTCCCTGTCAACCCCACGATATGGTGGTGTAGAAAACAATGAACGAATCTTAGACCATTACTGTCAAAGTCAGAAATGTCAGGCACATAACCAAAAAATTAACGGAAGGTACAAAAATCCAATTTCGTAACTTATGAATTTGCTCCAAAAATTGTCAGTGGCTTTGGCATGTGGCGCTACGTTGGTGATGAGTTTCGTGGCTTATATTTATGTACAACCAGGAAAAACTATGACGATAAAGTGGAGGAGATCGTACAGGAAACTTGTGAGTAGGAATTTTAGTTGATTCAGCTATGAGAAATGTACTTTTTAGAGGAGATACAGCAAAGAACTGCTGAAGAATTCCAACACAAATTTGGTCCCCATGGTGCAGAGTTTGATAACTGTGGTGCAGTTTGTATTGGAAAGATTGCCTCAATAATGCTTTTTTGTCAGAGTGGTATTAAAGTTTTATAACGCAGATGCGGTTTTTTTATTTAAATTATCATTTTGGATCTTTGAAATTTTAAGTTTTTCCTCACATATCGCAACTATTGCCAGTAAGATATTATCAGGGTTTCTTTAGGACACTTTGAGGTTGAAAAGTTATAGTCAATATTCTTAGTTTATTCATTAGTTATGCCAAGTTATTCAAATATCCCTAATTATGTAATTTTTTACCTTTTTTCTAGACATTTTCACTTTGAAAAATTTTTTTTTATCGAAAACTCATAATTACGACTTGTAGAGAATACTTTGCAGTTTTCAAAACCCTACTTGGATTTTCTGTACGACCATTATTTCCTGAGTAATTGATTGCCAAAGTGAAAAATGAATTTTTTGCTTTGATCGACGGTAATTCAGCGACAAATAATCGTACAAGGCTTCGGAATCGCTCAAATTGAAGATAATTAAATTATCTAAAAGTTTTATAATGAAATTAACAAAAAAATGTTTTAAAGTCCATAGGCCTTTTTTAAAAGAGCAAAAATTTTCAAATTTCTTTTCCGTTGATTTTATTTTGACTACTCAAAAGCTGCTGACGCTAAAAAATTTTAAACTGCAGATCTGAAAACTAGACACTTGCAGCTTCAATTTACTTTTTTTGATTATCTCTAAGATCATTTCCCTCTAAGTTACAGTTCTTTGAAAATCTTCTCAAAAGCTTGTGATATTTTTAATATCCTGTATTTAAGCAATATACTCTAAACAAAAAAAAATAAATTTTATGAAGTTTTATTGCATTAAAATATAATATCACATTGTAAATTTTCATAAATGCCAATTTAATAACTAAAAATAAATAGAATAATGAGATTATCTTCTACTTTTTGCCCACTGCACCTGCAACTGCTGCGTATCCAAGAACTGTGGGAAGACTTCTTTCTGCTGCGTTACGAATGTTCTTGCCTACTTTCTCCTGAAAGAAAACAACATTTTATTAATTATTAACTTCGCATAATTCGAATAGTACTACTGTCAAAATAAATGAAAAATAATAGTTAATTAAACCGTCTCAACAACAATCAATAATGTTAACTTCTGCAAAAATAAATTATTTCTGCATATATTTCTGGATGATAGAATGTTGTAAAAAACTTTGTTTTTATGTACAAAACTAACTGTAAATTTTTTGAGAAAACAGATGAGAAATTCGTTTATTCACAAAGTTATTCATCACTAAAATATTGATACTTACAAGTCTTTTAAAGATATTTTTGCTCTCAGCTCGACCACTGAGTGCGAACACCATTGCTATGACGAAGATGAAAATAAGTGACAACTTCATTTTGTAATTTGACTCTTCACTACTGATGCTGCACGTAATGATATAGAACAGGCAGGCCTGCCCATTATATGTTAGATATTCAGGTCACTGTACTTCACCAGATTCTTTCGTTAATTCACCTGGAATAGCCAAACTAGGCCTCCTGTCCTATCAATTACACTCCTTGTAATAAAGAACAGAGTAATTCATTAATAAATGCATATTTTTAAGGTTAATGTATTTTAATTAGATACGTTACAATTTTTATCAAATGGGATCGTAGAGTCTACTTTCAATTAGTAATAGTTTTACCTCTTGGTAAAAAATATCACCTTATAAATGTCAACGGCATTGAAAAATACATATTTTAAATTTAGTGAGATATAGAAAAGGTGTTGTAAAGAAGTGTGGTACATAGGTAAATATTTTTTTTTTTAATGGGAATAACTTTATATAAGTATAACTCTACATTGGGACTTAAATGTTGAGTTGCCAAGTTATAACTTTTTTATACGTTTTTGTCATTAAAAGTTGTTCAATATTTCCTGTATCAGGAGCTAGTTTGTCCTAAAATTTTTAATATAAATGAAACATTTATCTGTGTCATAGTCAAATAATGTCAGAACAAAAATGTTTTATACAGGGGGTTCAATTTCTTTTTAATAATATCGAACTTAGCACCCTATGATAAATTAAAATTTTAATGGCGAATGTTATGAATTAATGATATTGAAATAACCAGTTTAATATTGCCTTAAAACAAAAGTGTTCGTTCACAGAAAAGAATTGTGATTGTGAATTACGACAATGAATAATTACGATGGACTAATGAGTCTATTTGTTAATACAATTGTATGTACACTATAACAATAAATAAAAATTTTAATGATATGCAAAAATGTATTAAACAGTGAAATTTGAATTGATATAATGAAAAAATGCCTTCAACGATTAAGAGGTGTATTATATCTAGCTGATTTTATCAATTTCTAAGTGTTTTGATAATACCGATCGACATGATTTTTGTTACACAAACCTTTGGGGTCATTCTTGTAGTATTTCACCTCTTGCATTCGAATCTGCTTTTAGATTTTTTCCATCAGGTAGGATTATTTTGTTACAGACATTTAAAGTTTTACGAAAATATGAAAAAATGTGTATCATGATCAGAATTTTAAAACGTGTTTTATGTTGCTCTGAAACTTATATGTGATTCCTTACAGATTTTTCCCGTTGAAACCAAAGTGTGATTTTCAATTTTTTCCAACGCGTTAGGTTTTAACTCCAATCGCAAAAAATTACCTTTATTTATGATAATGTAAGGAATTACTTAAAAAATCATAATACATATTCAAAAAATGTAATGCAATTTAACAGACAATAACGGTCAACAATTTAATAGACAAGCTCAAACTTTATAATTTATGGGGATTCTATATGAGTCTACTTAATTTTGCCATTAATCACGATTTCTATTTTTATTTTGTACTATGGTTTTTACACAAGATATCTTATACAAATTTTAAATATACGGAATATTATAATTAAATTGTGGTTTATAATGTTTACGGAGATAAATATTTACACGAAACATTTAATCACTGTTTAAGTAGTTTCCCTTTCATTGTCGGGATATGAAAGAATTAACTACCATTAGTATTTAGTTACTTAGCCTAAAATATGATTAAGCATTTGAATATTATTTACCAAATTATGTTAAAAAATCATTGTTCATATATATCTAATTCAAAAATACTGTATGTAAATACAGTATGTTTTTATATATTATGCATCCCATACTTACAGCTGTTATTTTTGGAGGCAAAAAGGAAAATTAAATATAAATTTTTATAAATTTTTCTCAAGCACCGATATTTTGTATAAGATTAAACAAATGAACATCGCAATAGAATAAAATTATAAAAAATTAGTTTTTTCATATTTCATATTTTTGTATAGTTGAATAGAAAAATTTAGCGATCTATCTTTTATAGTAAGAGAGTAAGGGAGTTGCCTAGAAACTAACAATAATATTGAGTTTATGGGCAATATCTCGTTTATTACTAGAGATAGAGCTGTCAAACTATATATCAATATAGTGGCAACATATGTTACAAACAAAAAAACAGCATGTTGCAAAAAAACAAAATTTCTCTTTCAATTTCAGTTAATGAATTTTATTTTTTGTTAATAAACGGTTGGTTTTAATGCAAAAATGTGAGCCAGGTAAAACTCTTAAAATAAACCAAATTATCTGATAGGTATTTCTGAATATCTAATTTTTGCCAGACAAAAAGTTGTAGCAAAAATTACTGAAGAGCTGATTATGCCAATTTCCTCCAAGAGGCAAAAATTATCAAAAAATGATTGAAATTACAGCCCCTCTCCGATATTCATTTTGGAAACTTTGAGGATCTGTCTCTTGTAAGCGGTAAACTTTTGACTAAAGTCAGTTTTACGCGAAACGTGTTCTTTTGATCGTCGATACCATTTGTGCCACTCCTTTTACAAAGACCCTGTATAATAGTCGTAGAAGGAGCGCAAAATTAAAGGATCATTGTACCTGTAGCAAGTTAATATTTTTTAATTGTCTGAATTCGAAATAAATGAAAGAAATTAGAAAAATAAAATTGATTACGTTTTTAATAAATGACTAGGTATTCTTTAAATAACGAGCGTTCAAATAAAAACGTGGTCAAGTTGGTTCTGAAAATTTGGACGTAGGGCGTAGCGTATAGCAAATGAACTTAAACGTCATCTGTCAAAGCGCTATATCGCCGCTATCAATTTGAATATTTTCGTTTTAAAAAGCGTTTAAAATGGTGTTTTCTCAAGAACAAAAAGTGTTTATCATAGAGTCCTACTTTAGAAATGGACGCAAGATTGATGGAATATGGAAGTATTCTATTGAGGAATGTTTCATAGAATTTCAAAATCAATTTCCCGGCGTTGTTGAGTACAAAATTTTTCAAAGTGCAGTTCAGCGTTGTGTTAATGTTTTTCGTGAAACGGGCAGTGTAACAAGAAAAGAAGGAAGCGGCCGACCTAAAAAGCGGACTGAAGAATTAAAAGAAAATGTCCAACAAATAATGGAAAATGCGCCAAGAACTTCTGTACGTGTTTTATCACAAATGGTGGGAGTATCAGTCGGTACCTGCCACACAGTGTTAAAAAAAGATTTGCGTTTGTTCTCCTATCGTTTAACTTGTCAGCAAGAACTTCATGAAGTTGATTTTCCGCGACGGGCTGTATTTTGTGAATGGTTTTTAAACAACTACGGTGAACTTCATAATATCACCTTTTTTTCTGATGAAGCCTGGTTTCATTTAAGTGGTTACGTAAACTCACAGAATATGAGAATGTGGTCTTCTGAAAAACCAGATAACTTTTTTGTCGAGGGCCCTCTACACGCTCAAAAAATTGGAGTTTGGTGTGCTCTCAATCGAAGGAGGATTTATGGACCTATTTTTTTTAATGGTACTCTTACTGCGCAAAGGTATAGAGAAGAAATTATCGCTCCTTTTGTTAACCAGCTGGAAGAAAACGAAATTACAAACTTTTACTTTCAACAAGATGGCGCAAGGGCACATACGGCAGGCGAGACGATGAATATGTTGAGGGAAGTTTTCCAAAATCGACTAATAAGTCTCAATGCTGAACATGAATTTCCACCGAGGTCATGTGATATTACGCCGTGTGATTTCTTTTTGTGGCCTTACCTTAAAAACACTATTTTTGAACTGCCTATTCCTGATTTAAACCATCTGCAGGCTCGACTTATAGACAAGATTCGTGAAATTAACAATACCCCGAGCATCTTAGAAAATGTCTTTAATTCTTTGAGGAACAGGTGTGAAAAGTGCTTGGAACAAGGAGGGGGACACTTTCAGCAGCTGCTTTAATTTATTGTTATAACAAGGAGGGGGACACTTTCCGCAGCTCCTTTAATTGTTTGTTATTGTTATCACGATTATTCTTTAAAATAAAGTTATATAGTCATTAACGTTATTGAAACTGACAGCTGCTATACAGCTCGTTGAGAAATGAGGTTAAGTTGGTCGCTATAAGCTACTCCCTACGTCCAATGTGTCAGAGCCAACTTCGACCACGTTTTTATTTGAACGCTCGTTATATTCATTTAACTACAATAAACTTGGTATCTTCGACATATTTCAAATATTAGCGATAATTTTGTATGTATTTAATATTGTACATACTTTTATATTTGCTTATTTATTTTGTTATTTATTGTGACCAGTGAGTATTATATACCGAAGGGTTAAATATATTCAAATCTTTATTTAATATTTTTCATATTTAAGGTTCAAGTGAATTAAAAAACATGAAGTACATTAAATATATTTTATTAATATTATAACTTAAAAAATAACATTGGCACTTTAATAAATTAAATAAGTATAGGCAAATTCTTCTCTTGTTTTATTTTCCAATTTGTTTAGCGACTCCTGCATAGCCAACTACTGTAGGAAGGCTTCTTTCAGCGGCATTGCGAATGTTCTTTCCCACTTTCTCCTAAAAAATGCAAAGATATTTATTAATACAACCATTTAAATGTATTTTCTTTATTAGGCAAGTGTTTCCTAGTTTGATAATAAATCGGATAACGTTAATGTATATAAAAGTGTAATAAATTTATAGAATTACTTAAAAAAAAACAAACACAACAGCTTTTAAGATTATGCAAATTATTTCTATTTTATTTTATTGTAATATCTTACTACATCAGTACTAAAAAGAAAATTAAATAAAAAATTATATGGCAGTGGTACTTACAATTCTCTTGAAGAAGTTTTTGCTCTCTGCTTGTCCAGTAATTGCCAACAGAACAGCCAGAGCGAAGACGAAAACGATGGAGAGTTTCATTTTAATGCTTAGATGTCTTTACTCAGAGATGTTGCAAACTAGTTATGATGGATTATAAGAAAACTTGTTCTTTATATACTAAAACTATACTCATAGTCCTACTACCCTGAAAGGTTTTTTACCAGACGCTTTTGGCCAATCGACTGGAAATTCCCAAGTACATCCCAGTCTTCAGCATCAAATCGAAAAAGGTGAATCACTAATAAAACAATTATAGGAAAACTGAGCGTAAGGTTATTCAGGAAATCTAAATAGTGAAATCAAAGTGTTATCTTAACTTTGAAAAGAACATTGGTACTTACAAGGTTTTTGAAAAATAGTTATATAAATATTTGTTGTAAACTTCGTTACAAAAGAAATACGTAAATAAATTTTTATACAAATTTTCTTCGACTGCTCGTAGTGAGGTATGTAGGAGTGCAAAAGGGTATACTTAAATGAGTTTTTTTTTTTAATTGGAAAGTTCCTTAAGTTCTCTATTGTGTCAAATGTTGATTTTTTAAAATGTTTTTTTCATTAAAAGCTATTCACTCAGAATACTTTAAGAGAAACATTCGTTAAACTTAAAAAATTGAAATAATCAGTGAGATATTACCCTAAAACATAAGTTTGCGTTCGAAAAACAGGAAAAACTTCAAATCTGTGGTAACTTGAAGACTGTGTCGAAGGCAAGTACGCACGTTAATTTCCGTGCCACAGTTTAGTCATTAATGACAAATTCTATTTTTATTTTGAACTGTGGCTTTTACAGCAGATATTCATTTATCTTAAACACATTTTAAATATACAAAATGCTATAATTAAATTGCGGTTTACCATGTTTAGACAAATAAATCATATTTAATTCAAAAATAAATAGTTTTCTCTCTTGCCTTATCAGAATATGAAATAATCGATTGTTACATATTTGTAACTAATTTTTTAAATTACTTGTTTTTATATATTTGTAAATATTGTTTACATTTGCCTAAAATATAACATTCAATGTTATTTAGTATATTTATTAGGTAAAAAGTATTAGTTATTAAAATAAAATTCCTATTTGTAAAACATCATATATCTACAGGGTGTCCGACGGTGCCGAGGCATTAGACATATTTCAGAGACTACTTCGATTTTAATTTAGAAACGTCAATTTTTAGGTTAAAGGTAAAGGTTTCCTATTCTTAAAGTTAATTTTTTTCCAAAAAAATTTAAAAACTGCCTAATTAAAAAATATGTGTATTTTACAATAATAAAGTTAGAGCTATAAAATTTATAGGGGACATAAATAAAACTCTAAGCTTCCTTGCCATAATTTCAAAATGACTTAATTTCATACAGGGTGGTAGAAATTTAATGCCGAAATTAGTAATCTATAAACCATCTTAACTTTATATATTTTAGTGGAACACTCTATATATTTTTGCGGAACCTGCTGATTGTGATCATCAGCTTGATCAGTTAAAGCTACAGAGCGGCTATTTTATCTTGAACATTCTGCGATTTTGTGGCAAAAAGCCTATTACAAATATAACTATATAATAGATTAAAATATTTTTAAATTTCTACAACTACAATATATCATCAATATTTCAAAACATCTTGCATGGAATGTAGGTCGGAAAAATACTTTTTATAACCTGGGTTTAGCCCCCCTACGAATTTTGGTTCTGCAATTTTTTTCTGTTTACCTTAGCAACGGCAAGATGGAGGGCATGTCGTATTTTTCAGTAGGTGTTTTTCAAAATAATATCATACTGGATTTTTTTATTTAAATTCAATACAGCTCTGAATTTTTTCTGCTTTGTTGACAATTAAGAAAAATAAACATGAAAGCGGGTGGGTCCAACCTCTTTCATTTTAAAATTATTGCAAAAATAGTAGAGGAATGTCAAAGAAGTAAATGATTCGGCAATAAGAATTTTTTTGTAAAAATATAACGTTAACTTTTACTGCTGCTAGCGTGTTTATTACGTGAACTCTATCAATGTAAAACGTTTTGAAAATAAAAGTTTAACCATTTCTATAATTGTGTCTAAAATCTCGGTCCGATATGTCTAGTAGTTAATTAGAATTAATTTCATAAAAATCTATCTTGGGAACAAAGAGGCGTAGGTGATTTATTTTTTTTTGAATTTACCGTAAAAGTAAGCTCTATTTAATACAAAAAGAGCGAATTCTGGAGCGGCTTTTGCACATTCTACTTTGTTAGTTATAAAAAGCAACTTTTTGGAATTTTTCTTTTTCGATACTTTTATTTCGACCAATTTGAATCTATATTTAGGATATTAACTTCTAAAATTATTAATGTTTAGTAATTAAACAATTACATAGTTGCACAAAACGAACAAAATTAATTAACAAATGCCTGAAACAACAATTTCACGCTCAATGTGTGTTTGGCACACATATTGGTCTTTGAATTGACGTCTTTTCCATAAATTTTATTAACATCCATCTCTTTTTGCAATAATAATGGGCAATTTTCGAAAACTGATTTGTCCGCGTTCGACCTTTATTCTACAGTTAACAAACTGGTGAAATATGACTTTAGGTACCTTAAATTGTAGGTAATTTAATATGCAACAATATGAAACAACTAATTTTCCGATAGGTTGTCTAGATTTTCATGGGCAATAAAAAAAGTGAAAAAACACGTAATTTTGCCAGTTATTTGTAATTTGCAAACTTAGCGCCATTTCTTTCGAGTTAGTTTTTTGATATTATCATTCTACATACCCTTTCCCGTAATAAAGTGCAATAAATTGACTACTAATAATTTTTTTATCTCCAAACTGGACTATTATATCTCAAATATCTTTTGTGATTTTGACAAAAAAAATCTATTTAAAATATTTAATTTAGAACAATTCTAACTTTCTAACTTCATTGCTAGGGGACGCAAATGTCTTGCAAATATCTTGCATAAAATGTAAGCAATTCGACTGGACTATAACCGCTCTGTAGCTTTATCTGACTAATCTGTAGTTTACTCATTTCGTACACTATGGTTTTTATTGCAAATATGTATTTATTTTATATCAAAATAATGCAGATATCTAAGTACTATAATTAAATTGTGACTTCAATGTTTACACTGCATTTAGTTACATTATTGTTTAAGTATGTAGCCTGCTTTTGTTTTTATTAATTATTGTTATATTATTATACATTTTTAAGACCATGTGCTGAAATAATGTGATCATATTGTCATCAAAGTTGAATTGCATTGACAAAAAAAAATGGTTAAATGGTGTTTAAGCATTAGTTTTACAGTCTATTGATTTTTTGAAAATTCCTTTTTTATTAGGTATCCACTTTTCAATCTACAAATAGTTACAAAATTATGAATATCCGCGAGTAGGTATCTTGCAAAGTGTAAGAAATGCCAATTTTTTAAAACATCAAATAACACGAAAATTATACGACGCAGGTTCAATATTTGTTTATCAAAGCAGGCTCTAAATTCAAGGGGAAATTCGAAAGTGCAATATTGTACAGGGCGATACATTTGAAAAAAAAAATTAGTTAGGTAACGCCCAGAAGAAGTTGGATACCATGTATTAACGAAAATGATTTTAAATTGTGAAAAAATGAAACTGAAATACTTTGTTGTATTATTGATATACTGAAGCTATGCAAGATTTTATGTTCAATGGGACACCCTGTATTTTTAGGATATCTACAAAAATAACTCCTCTCGCCTGTGTTATAACTTCTATAACATTTACTAAACTAATCTATGTGATATATTTCGAAGTGTATTTTATGAAAATGCTTGTGATAACCAGGGTATTAGCAGATCTATGACATATAAGGATACACACAAGAATTCTTGTTTCTCAGTCCTTAGATTGTTTAATATTTTTCATAATTAAAGTCTGAATAACTTAAAAACATAATTACATTGAATATATTTTATTAATATATAAATAAAGGAACATTAATGGCACTAAGTTTAATAAATTAAATAAATATGTATATGCAAGTTGTTTTCCTAATTTATTTTCCAATTTGTTTAGCGACTCCTGCATAGCCAACTACTGTAGGAAGGCTTCTTTCAGCGGCGTTGCGGATGTTCTTTCCCACTTTCTCCTAAAAAAATGCAAAGATATTTATTAATACAACCATTTAAATGTATTTTCTTTATTAGGCAAGTGTTTCCTAGTTTGATAATAAATCGGATAACGTTAATGTACATAAAAGTGTAATAAATTTATAGAATTACTTAAAAAAAAACAAACACAACAGCTTTTAAGATTATGCAAATTATTTCTATTTTATTTTATTGTAATATCTTACTACATCAGTACTAAAAAGAAAATTAAATAAAAAATTATATGGCAGTGGTACTTACAATTCTCTTGAAGAAGTTTTTGCTCTCTGCTTGTCCAGTAATTGCCAACAGAACAGCCAGAGCGAAGACGAAAACGATGGAGAGTTTCATTTTAATGCTTAGATGTCTTTACTCAGAGATGCTGCAAACTAGTTATGATGGATTATAAGAAAACTTGTTCTTTATATACTAAAACTATACTCATAGTCCTACTACCCTGAAAGGTTTTTTACCAGACGCTTTTGGCCAATCGACTGGAAATTCCCAAGTACATCCCAGTCTTCAGCATCAAATCGAAAAAGGTGAATCACTAATAAAACAATTATAGGAAAACTGAGCGTAAGGTTATTCAGGAAATCTAAATAGTGAAATCAAAGTGTTATCTTAACTTTGAAAAGAACATTGGTACTTACAAGGTTTTTGAAAAATAGTTATATAAATATTTGTTGTAAACTTCGTTACAAAAGAAATACGTAAATAAATTTTTATACAAATTTTCTTCGACTGCTCGTAGTGAGGTATGTAGGAGTGCAAAAGGGTATACTTAAATGAGTTTTTTTTTTTAATTGGAAAGTTCCTTAAGTTCTCTATTGTGTCAAATGTTNGTAGACAATAACTATCTAGGTTTGACACTGAACGAAATGTGTCTCTCTAGGGCGATCTACTCTCTTATATGGAAAATCCCCCACTACAATTCGAACACGTCATTCCAATTTCAACTCAATTCATTCATCATTTCTATGTATGGCAATTACAGAGGACAGTCAAGGTAATTGATAAGATATTTGAAGGTCACCAACTGTCATGACGTAACTTCAAGGTCATTCAATGTCGAATGCCTCCTCCCATATGCAGAGGTCAAATGACGGTCACCGTGACCTCTACCAATGTCATCCAGGTCAAGTGAAGGTCACCGTGACCTCTATCAATGTCATCCAGGTCACGGATGACGTCATCCAAGGTCATCCCAAGGTCATCCAAGGTTATCCAAGGTCACCCAAGGTCACCCAAGGTCATCCCAAGGTCGAAAGTGGAGGGGGGAGTCTCAGCACCGGCTATAATAACCTACTTAAATTTTTATTTACTTGTAATGAAGGCGTCTTATAGTCACCGCCGGTTTCGCCCTTCCACAAATAATATCCACTTTTTATTTGTGGAAGGGCGAAATGGGCAGTGACTATTAGACGCCTTCACTATACCCATCCTTGTCTATCACATGGATTTCTATGGCTTACTTTATCGCTTTCACGTAACTTCAGATAGACCATCGGTACTTTCCTACCCTGTACATTCAATGTTATTTAGTATATTTATTAGGTAAAAAGTATTAGTTATTAAAATAAAATTCCTATTTGTAAAACATCATATATCTACAGGGTGTCCGACGGTGCCGAGGCATTAGACATATTTCAGAGACTACTTCGATTTTAATTTAGAAACGTCAATTTTCAGGTGAAAAGAAAATTAAAAACTGCCTAATTCAAAATGGCGTGTATTTTACAATAATAAAGTTATAGCTATAAAATTTATAGGGGACATAAATAAAACCCTTTCTACAACTACAATAAATCATCAATATTTCAAAACATCTTGCATGGAATGTAGGTCGGAAAAATACTTTTTATAACCTGGGTTTAGCCCCCCTACGAATTTTGGTTCTGCAATTTTTTTCTGTTTACCTTAGCAACGGCAACATGGAGGGCATATCGTATTTTTCAGTGTTTTTCAAAATAATATCATACTGGAATTTTTCATCTTTTCTGCATTGTTTGAAAGGTTGACAATTAAGAAAAATAAGAAAAATATACATGAAAGCGGGTGGATTTCTTTTTTTTTAATTTACCGTAAAAGTAAGCTCTATTTAATACAAAAAGAGCGAATTCTCGAGCGGCTTTTGGATATCCTACTTTGTTAATTATAAAAAGCAACATTTTAGAATTGTTCTTTTTCGATAATTTTATTTGGACCAATTTGAATCTATATTTAAGATATTAACTTCTAAAATTATTAACGTTTAGTAATTAAACAATTACATAGTTGCACAAAACGAACAAAATTAATTAACAAATGCCTGAAACAACAATTTCACGCTCAATGTGTGTTTGGCACACATATTGGTCTTTGAATTGACGTCTTTTCTATACATTTTATTAACATCCATCTCTTTTTGCAATAATAATTTGCAATTTTCGAAAACTGATTTGTCCGCGTTCGACCTTTATTTTACAGTTATCAAACTGGTGAAATATGACAGGTACCTTAAATTGTAGGTAATTTAATGCGCAACAATATGAAACAACTAATTTTCCGATAGGTTGTCTAGATTTTCATGGGCAACAAAAAAGTGAAAAAACACGTAATTTTGCCAGTTATTTGTAATTTGCAAACTTAGCGCCATTTCTTTCGAGTTAGTTTTTTGGTATTATTATTCTACATACCCTTCCCCGTAATAAAGTGCAATAAATTGTCTACTAATAATTTTTTTTATCTTCAAACTGGACTATTATATCTCAAAGACCTTCTGCGATTTTGACAAAAAAATCTATTAAAAATATGGCAGAACAAAATTTAATTTGGAATCATTTCAACTTTCTATGTTCATTGCTAGAGAACGCAAATGTATTGCAAATATTTTGCATAGAATGTAAGCAATTCGACTGGACTATAACTGCTCTGTAGCTTTATCTGACTAATCTGTAGTTTACCCATTGCGTACACTATGGTTTTTATTGCAAATATATATTTATTTTATATCAAAATAATGTAAATATCTAAGTACTATAATTAAATTGCGACTTCAATGTTTACACAGCATTTAGTTATATTATTGTTTAAATATGTAGCCTGCCTTTGTTTATTAAAACATGAAAAACAACTATTGCTATGAAATTTGTTATTTATTACTTATATTTGCTTGTCTGTAAATATGTGCATATTAATTCCCAAAATTTTATTAGGGACATAATTATTCCATGTACTTTATTTGTTACAAGTTGAAGTTTTAATCAGTTTTTCAAAGAAATGCATATTTGTGAAACCCCATATATTTGATTCTATGTATAATAAGTATGCAACAAGTTTAAAGATGAAGTTAGACATTTTTTTCATTGATCATTTTATAAAGTTTACTTTCGAGTAGCTTCTGTACATGAAAGATGTACCATTTAGGATAAATTAATTATTGTGTTCTTCTGGTAACATTAGTAATATAGAAAATTGTTCTAAATAAAAGTTTCATCAAATCAATTTCTTAAAATTTTAAAATTATTTCCAATTGTACACGATGTCACATTTAAGACCTCGTATTTGGTCTAAAATGTATTATGGATTTTTTGAAAATTCCTTTTTTATTAGGTATCCACTTTTCAATCTACAAATAGTTACAAAATTATGAAAATCCGCGAGTAGGTATCTTGCAAACTGTAAGAAATGCCATTTTTTAAAACATCAAATAACACGAAAATTATACGACGTAGGTTCAATATTTGTTTATAAAAGCAGGTTTTAAATTCAAGGGGAAATTCGAAAGTGCAATATTATACAGGGTGATACATTTGAAAAAAAAATAATTAGGTAGGTACCATGTATTAGCGAAAATAATTTTAAATTGTGAAAAAATGAAACTGAAATACTTCTTTGTGTTATTGATATACTGAAGCTATGTAAGATTTCATGTTCAATGGGACACTCTGTATTTTTAAGATATTTACAAAAATAACTCCTCTCGCCTGTATTATATCTTTTATAACATTTACTAAACTAATCTATGTGATATATTTCGATGTATATTTTATTAAAATGATTGTGATAACCAGGGTATTAGCAGATCTATGACATATAAGGATACCACATAACAATTCTTGTTTCTCAGTCCTTAGACTGTTTAATATCTTTCATAATTAAAGTCTGAGTAAATTAAAAAGATAATTACATTGAATATATTTTATTAATATATAAATAAAGGAACATACATGGCACTAAGTTTAATAAATTAAATAAATATGTATATGCAAGTTGTTTTCCTAATTTATTTTCCAATTTGTTTAGCGACTCCTGCATAACCAACGACTGTAGGCAGGCTTCTTTCAGCGGCGTTGCGGATGTTCTTTCCCACTTTCTCCTGAAAAATTCAGACATTTATTAGTATAACAATTTAAAGTGTATCTTTATTAGGTAAGGGGCTAAAGTGTTCAGTTTGATAATATAATAACGATGATATATAAAACTGTAATTAAATTAAACTATTTATTAAGATAGTGAACATAATAATTAATTATAATAAATTTGAAGCTTATGATAATCATATTTACTATTTTATTTTACTGTAATATCTTCCTATTAAAGTTTAAAATGTGGTTTAATTTATCAATCATCGTAATAACTATTAAAAAGAAAGGTAAATAACAAATTATATGATAGTTGTACTTACAATTCTCTTGAAGAAGTTTTTACTCTCTGCATGCCCAGTAATTGCCAATAGAACAGCTAGAGCGAAGACGAAGACGATGGAAAGCTTCATTTTAATGCTTAGCTGTCTTTACTGCGAGATGCTGTAGACTGGTTATGATGGAGTGGTAGAAAACATGTCCGTTATATATCTATCAAACAGTTCGTTCCGGTGCAAGGTATTTTACAGACCGATTTTGGTCAATCGCTTGGAAATTCCGAAGTACATCTTCATCTTCAGTTAAGCATTAACACATCAAAGTGAATTACAGCTAGAACTCTTATTGGGAAACTGAATTTAGGGGTATTCAGGATATTTGCAAATTAGTAATAGAGATATTTTTAGGTACTGCGTATTTCATATAAAAAAGTTCCACCAATAGTCTAAATTGTTATAAAAAAAAATACGTAAATAAACTTTTATACTAATTTTCATTAGCTGTTTTTCAACTTACCCAACTTTAAGAAAGAGTAGTTTCTAAGACAAAAAATGAAAAAAGTCATTATAAACAAAGGTTACAAAACAACCAATTTCAATAAATTTGTTGACATGTGAATAAACGGTGTATCCACGGATGGAGTTGACAAGAGAAAAAACTCTTTTGTTTTTGACTTTATCGAAAAATGTCACTCTTTATAGAAAGTTTTGCCTCTCGAAAAAAATTAGACTGTCATACAAACACCTTAGATTAGATATACAGGGTGCCCAAAAATTAAGAAAACACGAAAATACTCAAGAGAGAAGTACCATTATTTATGCACATTTTTACAAAATAAATCTGTTTATAACCTTAAATAATGTCCATTAGGACAAATTTTAAAATCAAAATTTTAATTTTGACTTTTACTTTACATGGCTACCTCCCACCTTAACACACTTTTCCGCTTAACTTAACTTAATTATTTTATTTCTGACCGGGATATTATAAGCTTATATCGTCATAGTTACGCTATCAATAAAGAGAGTCATAACTCCCTTGGGACATTATAGATTCTATAATTCCCTCTACCTTTCACAAGTAAAAATAAAATAAAAAATGCTAATATACATATATNTTGTTTCTCAGTCCTTAGACTGTTTAATATCTTTCATAATTAAAGTCTGAGTAAATTAAAAAGATAATTACATTGAATATATTTTATTAATATATAAATAAAGGAACATACATGGCACTAAGTTTAATAAATTAAATAAATATGTATATGCAAGTTGTTTTCCTAATTTATTTTCCAATTTGTTTAGCGACTCCTGCATAACCAACGACTGTAGGCAGGCTTCTTTCAGCGGCGTTGCGGATGTTCTTTCCCACTTTCTCCTGAAAAATTCAGACATTTATTAGTATAACAATTTAAAGTGTATCTTTATTAGGTAAGGGGCTAAAGTGTTCAGTTTGATAATATAATAACAATGATATGTAAAACTGTAATTAAATTAAACTATTTATTAAGATAGTGAACATAATAATTAATTATAATAAATTTGAAGCTTATGATAATCATATTTACTATTTTATTTTACTGTAATATCTTCCTATTAAAGTTTAAAATGTGGTTTAATTTATCAATCATCGTAATAACTATTAAAAAGAAAGGTAAATAACAAATTATATGATAGTTGTACTTACAATTCTCTTGAAGAAGTTTTTACTCTCTGCTTGCCCAGTAATTGCCAATAGAACAGCTAGAGCGAAGACGAAGACGATGGAAAGCTTCATTTTAATGCTTAGCTGTCTTTACTGCGAGATGCTGTAGACTGGTTATGATGGAGTGGTAGAAAACATGTCCGTTATATACCTATCAAACAGTTCGTTCCGGTGCAAGGTATTTTACAGACCGATTTTGGTCAATCGCTTGGAAATTCCGAAGTACATCTTCATCTTCAGTTAAGCATTAACACATCAAAGTGAATTACAGCTAGAACTCTTATTGGGAAACTGAATTTAGGGGTATTCAGGATATTTGCAAATTAGTAATAGAGATATTTTTAGGTACTGCGTATTTCATATAAAAAAGTTCCACCAATAGTCTAAATTGTTATAAAAAAAATACGTAAATAAACTTTTATACTAATTTTCATTAGCTGCTTTTCAATTTACCTAACTTTAAGAAAGAGCGGTTTCTAAGACAAATATGAAAAAAAAGTCATTATAAACAAAGGTTACAAAACAACCAATTTCAATAAATTTGTTGACATGTGAATATACAGTGTGTCCACGGATGGAGTTGACAAGAGGAAAAACTCTTTTGTTTTTGACTTTATCGAAAAATGTCACTCTTTATAGAAAGTTCTGCCTCTCGAAAAAAATTAGACTGTCATACAAACACCTTAGATTAGATATACAGGGTGCTCAAAAATTAAGAAAACACGAAAATACCCAAGAGAGAAGTACCATTATTTATTATTTTGCACGACATTTTTACAAAATAAATCTGTTTATAACCTTAAACAATGTCCATTAGGACAAATTTTAAAATCAAAATTTTAATTTTGACTTTTACTTTACATAGCTACCTCCCACCTTAACACACTTTTCCTAACTTAATAAACTTTTCGTACACTTTGTGATTAGTTTGAGGCCCATTTAATTCATTTATTACATCTCGTATCCGCTCTTTTAATACTTGCCTATCGTGGCAGATCATTTGAATAAATCTTTTGTTTTAGGGCACCCCAAAGAAAAAAGTCAAGGGGTGTAAGGTCAGGTGATCTAGCAGGATAATAGATTGGGCCAAATCTTTCTATTTACCCTGCATATCTGATCTAAGATATTTCTATGACAGTCATATTTTCGAGAGGCAGAACTTTTTATAAAGAGTGACATTTTTCCTGTTACAGTGGACACACGAAAATGTCAAAATTGAAATTTTAAAATTTGTATTAGGACATTATTTGAGGTTATAAACACATTTGTTTTATAAAAATGTTATATTAAAAATAATAAATAATGGTACTTCTCTCTTGAATATTTTTGTGGTGGGCTTCAGAAACCTGAATTAATTCTTTTCAAGGGCCTTTTACTATGTTTGAATTTTTTTTTATACTTAGCGTTAATTTGAAAAAGGGCAGAAAAATTACTTTTTCTGCCTTTTTGAGAAATCAACGACTACTTTGCGAATATTACGAGAAGTACCAATATTTGTAGGTATTTTTTTAGTTCAATACGTGCCCATGAGGCCTGTAAATTTTGAAATCGGTCGGTCGAAAGCTTTTCCTTCCCTGAATCGCCAAAATTTTATAAAAAATTAAAAGAGCAGGTTTATTGCTTCTTGCTCAATTAATGATTAAGATGAAGCAAAAATTTTTTTGCGTTATTTTTCTCACAATTTCGCGTTATATACTCATCAAATCAATCAAAATCGAAAAAAAAGAAAATTTAAAATTTAAAAAAAAATCTATTTTGAAACAAAAATTGAATTTTTCAACATTTTTTAAAATATTTTTGCGTCCCCGTTTTTACACTTTTACATTGAATATTTCAAGTGTATTAAAAAAATTTTTTTTGAAATAAAAAAAAAAGAAAAATTTGATTTTTTTCAAAATAAAAATTGTAAAATTTTTGCCTCGCATTATTTCTATTGATTGATACGAGTGTTATCCGAACACCCTGTATATATATTTTCACATTATTCATATATTGTTTTATAACAATTCTTTACTTATAAGTTTCTATTATTATTCTGCTGACAATGGAAAATCGCCTGCTGAGTTGCTAGCTGATAATAAATAGTATAAATACCCAACCAGCCGCTCAGAAGGACGATTATAGATTCAACTTCACCAACGCTGTAATTANAATTCTGTTTATAAACACGTAACATAGCAACAACCTAGCAACAACAAAACTCTTATAATCAATGGTACCTGATTCAAATATACTGGGAAGGTAATAAATTGGTACATTTTTTCCGTTTTAAAAATAAACAATATTTTATTGAAATCGGTCAGAAATAAAATTATCTATGTACCACGGGAATTAATGAGCCTTAATAACCTCAGGCAATTGCTGTCCCTCGGGCGGGACGCCATCGGGACGCAAACTTTGCCATCGGTAATTAAGGCCCTTATAATTCCCTAGGTACATAAATAACTATTTTCGTACACTTTGCGATTAGTTTGAGGCACATTTAATTCATTTATTCCCTCTCGTATCAGCTCTTTTAATACTTCCCTATTGTGGCAGATCATTTGACCAAATATTTTGTTTTAGGGCATCCCAAAGAAAAAAGTCAAGGGGTGTAAGGTCAGGTGATCTAGCAGGATAATGGATTGGACCAAATCTTTCTGTTCACCCTGCATATCTGATCTAAGATATTTCTATGACAGTCTCATATTTTCGAGAGGCAGAACTTTTTATAAAGAGTGACATTTTTCGATACAGTCTCCTGTTACAGTGGACACACGAAAATGTCAAAACTGAAATTGTAAAATTTGTATTAGGACATTATTTGAGGTTATAAACAGATTTGTTTTATAAAAATGTTGTGCAAAATAAGAAATACTTCTCGAATATTTTCGTTTTTAGAATGATTGTACATCGAACGGACGGTGGGTTTCAGAAACCTGAATCAATTCTCTTCAAGGACCTTTTGCTATGTTTGAAAATTTTTTTTATACTTGGCGTTAATTTGAAAAAGGGCAAAAAAATTACTTTTTCTGCCTTTTTGAGAAATCAATGAATGACTACTTTGCGAATATTACGAGAAGTACCAATACTTGTAGGTATTTTTTTAGTTCAATACGTGCCATTAGGCCTGTAAATTTTGAAATCGATCGGTCGAAAGCGTTTCCCTTCCTGAATCGCCAAAATTTTATAATAAATTAAAGGTTTATTGCTCATTGCTTAATTAATGATTTAAGATGAAGCAAAAATTTTTTTGCGTTATTTTTCTCACAATTTCGCGTTAAACACTCATCAAATCAATCAAAATCGAAAATAAAGAAAATTCAAAATAAAAAAAAAATTCAATTTTGAAACAAAAATTGAATTTTTCAAAATTTTTAAAAATATTTTTGCGTCCCCTGTTTTACAATTTTATATTGAATATTTCAAGTGTCGAGAAAAAAAATTTTGAAATTAAAAAATTGAAACATTAGATTTTTTTCAAAAAAAAAAAAAATGTAAAATTTTTGCTTCGCATTATTTCTATTTATTGCTCCGAGTGATGCTTGAGTTTTTTTTCTCGATACAATCATTATTCACGAAGTTACACTCAAAAATCACTAAAAAAATTTCGAAATTTTTCTGCTTCATTTTTTTTTGCTGAGTTTATTTTAATAAAAACAAGTCTTTAAGTGTATGCTGGAAACTAATTCACACCAACATATATGTAAATTTAAATTCTAATCATACTGGTAGGAAGATTAAAAATTTGTGTTATATTTTCTTCAAAAGACGAAATTTTTAAGTTTATAAAAAATATGCATAGGTATACAAAATAAATGCATCATTCAACATTAGAACAGTTTTCCAAACAACTAATAATTTACGAACTGTTTTTGTCAAAAACACAGCCAAATAATTAGTAAAATAAAATGCATTATATAGGGTGAATCATTAACAATGGGAAAGTCGAAAGTTGAAGATACTACACGTGAAATGGTGACGATTGGCGCAAACATGCCTTATCCGAAAGTTCATAGTTAGTAGAAAGTTCGGAAGTACAGGGTGTTGAAAGTTAAAATTTTAAATCGATTTTTGCGCTTATTCTGAAAATATGTAGGTTAGGAATTGAAAATTTCTGAAACCATATTTTTTTAGGCGATGAATAAGATGCGTGTTGTAATATCAGCATTGCTCACAGAGGGCGTCACTTACGACCAATTTTACCGAAAATTTAGTTAATAATTTGTTACCCTGTATATTTAATATGAAACTTGTTTCAAAACCTGAAAGAGCTATCATTTTTCCATCAATTATGTTCTCTTGTTTCATTTCGGTATCTAGATCCGTTTTCGAAAAAAATGGATTTAACGAACACAATTTTTTGATAATATGAGAAATTAAAAGCGAAACAAACCCAGTGTTTATTCGTGTTATTACAACAATTAACAATAAAACAAATAAAATACGTAATTATAATTTAACGTAATTGTTCGAAGAATTCACCGTTGACATTTTACAAGTTTTCTGAGACATCTTCGAGTTTGAAACAACATATTGGGATTGCGTCTGACTTCATTGGCATCGATTTGTATTCTTTGCTACAACTCTTCACACGAACCAATAGATTCTTTGTAAACTATATCTTTCATTCGAGACCAAACAGAAAAATCAAGAGGACTGAAGTCCGGACTTCTGGATGGCCAAGCAAAAATGATTACATGGCCAATCCAGCGATTTGGAAAAACTACATCTAAATACGCACGCACTGGCCAAGAAAAATGCGGTAGAGCTCCGTCGTGCATGAACCACATGTCTCTTCTTAAATAAAGTGGAATTTCTTCAAGCCGTGGAAACATTTTTACTTGGCCACCCAGAAGTCCGGACTTCAATCATCTTCATTTTTCTATTTGGAAGAATCTATTGGTTCGTGTGAAGAGTTGTGGCAAAGAATACAAGTCGCTGCCAACGAAGTCAAACGCAATCCCAATATGTTGTTTCAAACTCGAAGATCTCTCAGAAAACATTGTGTAAAGTGTATAAATGTCAACGGTGGATTCTTCGAACACTGACTTTAAATCATTATTACGAATTCCATTTGTTTTATTGTTAATTGTTGTAATAACACGAAGAAACACTTGGTTTTTTCGCTTGTAATTTCTCGTATTATCAAAACATAGTGTTCGTTAAAGCGATTTTTCTCAAGAACGGATCGAGATACTGAAATGAAACAAGAGTACACAATTAATGGAAAAATGATTGCTCTTTCAGGTTTTGAATCAAGTTTCATGTTAGACATACAGGGTAAAAAGTTATTAACTAAATTTTCGGTAAAATTGGTCGTAAGTGGCGCCCTCTACGAGCAATGCTGAAATTACAACACGCATCTTATTCGTTGCCTAAAAAAATATAGTTTCACAAATTTTCAAGTTCATAACTTACATATTTTCAGAATAATCGCAAAAACGATTTAAAATTTTAACTTTCAACACCCTGTATTTCCGAAACTATCAACTTTCGGATAAGGCATGTTTGCGCCAATGGTCACCATTTCACGTGTAGTATCTTCAGCTTTCGATTTTCCCATTGTTAATGAATCACCCTGTATATTGCATATCTTGGGAATGCAATAAACACTTATATTAGAGAATCCTCTCTATTTGTAAACATTAGAACAGATGAACAAAAAGCTTAAACAAAGAAGATTGAATTTGACAAATTAAAAATTTGCGAATACGTTTAACAAAATGGTCATATTCAAATCAATAGGGTTCGGCCAAAATTTTAGAGAAGGAAAATGTTCTAGTAATTATTATTACCAAATGACGAGATGTGTATCAAATTACTTTGTCGTAATTGTATCCTTGATTATAAATATTAAAAAATTAAGTAAATAATGATAGAATAAATACATATTTCTAATTACGGATGAAGATAAACACAATTTAAACTATAGAACATCTCAAAAAAATATCATTTCTAGTTTTGAAGACGACGGCAGACTGTTTTTCGAAAGGTTAATTGAAGAATTATGATACGTATTTTTTATTTGTCTATTTCTTTATTGTGAGACTTATCATAAAATAACTCTGTTTCTTTTGGAGCAAAGGTTTGTTTAATTAACTTTTTACTCGTATTTTTTCACAGGTGATAAAATACTCAAATAAATGTATACAAAAATTATTTTCACTTTCTATATTAATTACTTTTCCAATAACAATTGTTCTGGTTATTTACCATTGTTTCTTAATTTTACTTATAGGAATTTTATTATTAATTAATGACACGCGCTTGGTAAAGTACCCACAACCTTTAGTTTCCTATATAACAGTCAAGCGTTTGTTTTCTACCATTATCAGTTCATCACACTTTCCAATCAAGAAAACTAAACGCTAAAATGAAACTGACAATTATCTTCGTCCTCGCCTTAACTGCATTGCTTGCACTTGCTGGCCAAGCAGAGGGCAAAAATTTCTTTAAGCAACTGGTAAGTACACATACATATACTATTTTAAAATATGTTTTTATTTTCGTGTTAATTCCATAAACCTAAACATGGAACTTTCGAAATAAAACTAAAATATTTTTTGATAAAAAGTGTAAAAACCACTATAATATTATTTTCATCGCATTTTTTAGGAGAAAGTGGGGCAGAATGTCCGCAATGCAGCTGAAAGAAGTCTTCCCACAGTGGTTGGATATGCGGCAGTCGCAAAACAAGTCGGAAAATAAACCAAATGGCACTGTTATTAAAAATTCATTTTGTGCAATAATAAAATAACAAAAATTCGTAGATACTTTATTTTTTGGTGCATTTAAAAATTATTAAACATTTAAAAAAATCTTCGTATAAATAAAGAAAGACAGAACCCATAGCTTAAGGAGTGCTTTGGACCTTTACATACAGGGTGGACCATTTTAATTTAATCTATGCCTGGTAGCTGTTTATTTGAGTTAACACCTTAACAATGTTGACCTTGAGGTCATTTTCAAGGTCATTTGTATGTCAGTGTGTTTCTTTAATGGAAAATTTTGTTCTTGACACCGGATTTAGAAAAAGTGAAAGAGTTACCGTCAGAATTGATTTAATTGTTGTTGCTGTTCTGACCTTGAGAAGGTCAAATTTTTGGCCAGATTTAACGTTGTGAAGGCACCTTTTAGAAGTAGATCAAACTCAAATTTGACAACGACCTTGGACCTTAAGATCGATTTTCTAGGCCATTTGAAGGTCCCGGTGTTTTTTTGTTATGGGAACACTGTAAGAAATGTCATTTTTCTCTGTTGTTCAGACCTTAAGAAGGCCAATGGAATTTAAATGTGTTAAGGTCTGAACAACAGAGAAAAATTACATTTCTGATGCAAAATTCTCCCTCTTTTCGAATCCGGTGTCAAAAATTCCTATTTAAAAAAACACTCTGATCTACAAATGACCTTGAAACTGAATCTCAAGGTCAAAACTAGTTGTACAGATAGGTGGCCCCCATTGTCCTGAACAATTTTTGTCTGAACCAGTTTTACGTATCTCGTTTAGGCACGAAATTTGGGTGCATAGATAAAAATGGCCCACCCTGTATAAAGAACCAACTTTATTGACAGTTACATCGTCTCTGATAAATTTGAAAGTAGAGACTATATGTTTTTTATGCGCACTAAGTTCCTATTACCATTATCGTCAAGTCAAATTATAAACTTAAATTTCCTTAAAGTTAATATCCGTTACGGCGAGGGAAGAAGCAATCTCGTCGGATCCAACATATTTATATGCTGCTTAGTTTCCTATAATGGGCAATTTTCAATGCTCGCCTTCGCTACTCCATAACTCCGGGCAAATCCCGCCTTTGGCGACATCTAGACGTCGTTAGTTTGCAAAAGATCAGCCTGTTTAAATCTATATCCCTATAGCTCCCTCCAATTTTCATAATAATCCCTCGAATGTTGACCCCACCCCACCAGGGCTCGTCACAGGGGCGTAACCACTTATTTCATAAAAAGCTGAGCAAACAACGATTTTAAATAAATTATATTTGTGTTTTTACTGTAAAAAGTGTATATTTATACTATGGGAGCTACGTGAGTCAACTTCTAAGCAGTTCTCAAAGTTAACTGATAACTGTTTAAAAAGAACCACCCTATATCTAGATCCATAAACCTCCACTGGTTGAATGACTTTCTTCGACAATGGAGACAAAGGAGATGGTTTGGAACGACCTAGTCGTCCACCAGATCTTAATCATCTAGGTTATTTTAAAAATAAACCAAACGTTTTGATAAGAATAGCGAATATTTATAAAATTATATTAGTTGAAGTTAAACAATTTCAGGAGTTCTTTTCTCAGATTTCTGCACATACTGCCCATTTTCATGTTACTAGACGTGTAATAGTCGTAAGTCGATGCACAGCGGACTGTCGGAAATTTTACGATCATAACCGATTTATGCAACGAACTTAACCATTATAAGACGCGTTTTACACGTTAAAAACGGAAACATATTCGGTATAAGAACGAATAATTCTGTTAATATAATTGTTATATGCAAATTCGGATGCTGGTCTTTATACAACAAATCTTCCCTACTATACAATTGGAACATACAGTATAAGTAATTCATTATAACCTTTATTTCATGGATGCATAAGGTGTATTAAGCACCTTCCAGTTAAACTCATTGAATAAGGAGTATGGAGATGATTGCTTTTTTTTAATAAAAGTTGTATATTGGTTATAAAAGTTTTAATATGCGCTATACACATTATTCTAGATAAACAATTTAATAAGCCCATTTCTTTCAGTGCAGTTTTTGAATTTGCATTTCAATGTATTGCATTACTGTTTAAAAAGGGCGTAAATAATGGCGTATTAAATATGAACAAGCATATTTAAATTTAAGAATATTTTCATTTGTTCTTGAAGCCCACGTCTTTTAAATACATGGTATAAAGGTTTAATAAAATTAATTTCTTTGAATTTGTCCCCGCAATATCTAGTGAATCATTAGGCAGAACCACCAGACATATATCGGTTTCGAACTTATTATAATCGTAGTTGACGTACTAGATATTGGCGTATATTCAATGTTGGTCGGGGTAGTTCATAGAATAGTTATTTCCTACAATACCATCAGTTAAAAATTGTTTTGCCTAGTGCCAATTTGGCCGTATTGAAATATTACGCATTGAATATCAGTGACCATAGATGTAGCACTTAATTATATCTCATTCAATTTCAACAGATCATTTTCTTTTGAAATAAGATTTGCTTGAATACCATATTATTATCATCTGTTTTTAGAAGATTTATATTTGAACACTTTAACACCCTCTGCTACAAAGAACTTCTATTCCAAATGTTTATTTAACAGAATATGCACAAATTTCGAAGACGCAAACACTGTTTCATTTTCAACGTGTTGTTTTGCTACGTCATATAATGTATTTTATCCACAATCACCTTATAATCGGACTTTTATCCACTCATATGAACCGTCTAAACTGATACTGAATAAAGTAACTTTATAATGTAGAATAATGATAAAATAATAAACCTATAATAAATCAAATTTAATTTATTTACTTATTAACATTAACATTTACATTTATATGAATAAAGACTTCGTTTTTTGTTTTTCACATTTAACTTCCTTTCCGTTAATAACAACCCTTGTAGCATTGTTGCCATCATTTTCGGAACGCATAACATCTGCCGAAGTTTGTGAAGAATTTGCACAAGTTACGGATGTCCTTTCTTGTAAAGAACAGCTATATTTCCCTTGGATTTTCCTTGCAATATCGAGTTTGTTAGATTATAACTTCAACATAACTTTCTGCTACAGACGAGCTTTTCCATCCACCATGCGTTTAATGGTTGTAAGATCAACACCTTTATTGGCCAATAAAGTTGTAGAAGTGCGCCTCATGCAATGGCCATCAGTATATGCTTTGCGATATTCAGGGTACCTTCGCCAATGTTTTGATTTCAACAGACTCAGAAGTACCTACATTTTTGATTGATGTATCTCAAAAAGAATCTATCCATCTTCATTTCTCTCTATACCTTTCATGAAAAATGCTTTTCGACATATCTTCCCTGTAAAAAGAAACTATCAGTGTTTATACTCCCTACTGACATATTTTAATTATTTTTGTGCTAATGTAATACGTTTACTAACAAAAGGAGTACTCAATAAAAAAAGTATATATGACGATTTTACAGAAATACACGGTTTATATCAATAATGAATAGGGCTGTCAGAGAGAGCCTCAATACAATGGCGTGCTAAGCGTGTCAACCGAGACATGCGTGAGCCGATTCCTCAGAATGCTTTTCATGTTCATGTCACGTTAGTATACTGTTGCATTTGTTATCGTGCGGATGTTACGTAATTAATTCCTATCCGTTAGTGTTTATGGTGGTATATTATTGTAGACAATTTAATTTGTTACTTTTTAACAAATAATGCGTACGCCTATGTCCCGCGGCTCAGTTCTGACAGCCTTAATAATGAATATAAACGTTGAAAGATCTACGATAACTCTGACAAAATCAGTAACAGACTTGATTAAATCGGAGATATCAAAAAACTTTTTTAATAAAAGTCGTTGCGAAAAATGAAAACATAAAAATGGGTGTAGAAAATTGGGAAAAATAATTTCAATGACGTCACAGCTCTTAGGGTGACAATCTTACCAAGTCAAATATTTGTATCATGATGCCATAGAGAACCCCGATTGCGGTTTCTTATTTGCTCGTCGTTTATCATTTCCACTGACGCAAAATGGACGAATAAGGTAATAAAAATAACGAATGATGGGCATCTCTTATTTGAATTATGCGAAAGAATTGGCTACACCACTGGGTTATCAGGCTAAATATGTCCTACCATTCCGCCTATTATGCTAACAATACGTCAAGCTTATTACCATTCATAAATCGCTGAAGGTCCATTTAAGATGAAACCAATAACGTCCTTAAGAAGGATGTTCTACGGTATTACCCTCAGATAACAGGAACAACCACTAAACGTGATATAGTATTGGGGCAGAAGATTTAACATATCGCGAGCGGGATATTAAGTTACCTCGCAGATCAGAAGTGGGATTGGCTTTAATAATTTATGGCTGCGGCGTGGAGGAAATACGGTGTATTTCTATTTCGGTTGGTTTAAATGGCTTATTACATTTTTAGTCGGCGGATAACGGCCCATAAATTTGCGAGGCTGCCAATAATATTCCAATATTCATAATATAGCAATGTACAGAGTGTTAAATCTATAATATATTTACGTATATATATGTAATATGTATAGAATGTTATATAATAAATTGAGTTTGTAACGTTAAAACTTTAATCAGTGTAATTTTTGAATAATTATTGAGTAAACCACTTAAAAATCTTCTAGTGGTATAAAACCAAATATACGTAAAATTCACATTTCTTTCCTTTGGATATATTTCAATAAAATTCCAATAGATTATGTTTAAATGTTAAACAGTATAGTGCTGTTATTATACAGGGTGTTAACGATAAGTTTTGCCAAACTTTAATGGCGTATTATACCGATGAAAATAACCAAAATTTGCCCTATAAAAATTTTTGATTGGACGCTTCCCTACGGAAATACAGGGTGTTAAAAGTTTCAAATATTTATATGATTTTTTCCTGTAACTTCACTGGCATAAAATATTGAGTGATAAAATTTGGAGGATGACATTTTTATAGTAGAGACTATTTTTTCATGGATAACTTATTCCAAAATACACTCCAGTGGC